CTGAAAGTGGCAGATGGAGCGACCTCAAAGACAGCTTTTAGAACAAGATATGGGCATTATGAGTTCTTGGTAATGCCTTTTGGACTCACTAATGCGCCAGAGGTATTTATGGCTCTTATGAATAGAGTTTTTCATGAATATCTTGATAAGTTTGTGATTGTGTTCATAGATGATATTCTCATCTATTCTAAAAGCGAAGAGGAGCACACAAATCACCTTAGAATTGTATTGCAAATTCTAAGGGACAAACAATTACATGCAAAATTCTCAAAATGTGAGTTTTGGCAGAAGGAGGTAATATATTTGGGACATGTAATTTCTGGAAGAGGAGTGGAGGTGGATCCGAAAAAGGTGGAAGCAGTGGTAAGTTGGACTCCACCAAAAGATGTGTCTGAGTTGAGAAGTTTTCTTGGCATGGCTGGTTATTATCGGCGGTTTGTCGAAGGATTTTCCAAAATTGCTGCACCATTGACTAAACTGTTGAGGAAGAACACCAATTATGTTTGGGATGAATCATGTCAAAAGAGTTTTGATGAACTAAAGAAGAAATTGACCACAACACCAATACTGGCTTTACCTTCAAACCATGGAGAGTTCGTGGTGTATAGTGATGCCTCGTATCAAGGATTGGGTTGTGTGTTAATGCAAGATGGAAGAGTTATCGCATATGCCTCTAGGCAATTGCGTCCTCATGAAGTAAATTATCCCACTCATGACTTAGAATTGGCAGCGGTGGTATTTGCTCTCAAGATTTGGCGACATTATTTGTATGGTGAGACTTTTAAAATCCTCACTGATCATAAAAGCCTGAAGTATATTATGGATCATAAGGATTTAAATAGTCGCCAGAGGAGATGGATTGAACTTCTAAAAGATTATGATTGTACAATTGATTACCATCTAAGTAAAGCTAATGTAGTTGCTGATGCCCTAAGCAGAAAGGGGAAGAAGAATATAAATGATCTGGTTGATTTGAGGGCAATGAATGTTGATTTGGAAGTGGATGGTGTAACAGGGTTACTAGCTCGGTTGAACATTCGACTTTTGTTGCACGACTAATTCGTGAGAAGCAGAAGGAGGACTCAGAGTTGGTAAAATCATTCAAGACATTGGGGAAGGAAAAGAAAGCCCATTTGAAATGGTAGATGGCATGTTGAAGATGAATGGAAGAGCATCTACACATAATATAATACACCGAAGGGAAAAGCGGAAGCCCCATTTCAAATTTCCTGCAACGAGAGTGAAAGTAGGAAGGACATTTTGGTCTTCACAATTACTTTTTTTTTATTCATTAAAAAACATGTAGTGGGATACGAACCATGACCATTTTAAGGAAAAGTAAGGATCATAACCAATCACACTAAGTACATTAGTTGTATCTTTTTAAATTAAAAACATATAATAGCAGGGAGGAAAAAACCCTTCCCCCATTTCAAATTCTCTGCTCCAATAGCGTTTGTAGGAATGATAGAATAGGGAGTGTCAATTTTTTCCTCTTTCCTCTGTGGAACGGGCCAACTTACCGTACACATGCAGATTTAAACGGGTTCAGGAGTGTCAATTTTTTTCATTAAGCCCTTTTATTTCTTCGTGGTGATAAAATATATATGAAAAGGCAAAAACAATACTTCTTTTTATTGCTAAAAATAAAAAAAATTAACAATAAACTAATGCATGGTATCTAATGGGCTAATCGCTAACCATAAAATAAAAGAGTTGAATTGGCCTGACCTACACGGGATTTAGCCATCAAGTAAAACAAATGAACACATTGGTTTTACATTCTAAAACAAGCTATTTTCTCTGGCATAATATATATTATGCTATTATTTTATATCTTAGTGGCTAAAATATAATGTATTTTAAAGTTATTCAATGGTTCAACCTCGACCAACCCAATTAGTCCCATTTTTATCATTTGAAATATATATTATATAATTATTTGATATCATAATGATCAAATTATAGTGTATTTTATAGGGAATCGTTTGGTATTTGTTAGTAAAAAACTAAACAGAAAGATCTATTTGGTTATTTTAAACATTAAAACGATCCTAACATTTTCATTTCCTTTTGAATTTCTATGGTTTTATTCCCGAATAAGTGATGTGCAAATGGCAAATTGAAGTCATCTCTTTTCTTTCACTATTTTTTATTTTCAAATAGAAAGTTTAATAGTAAAGAATAATTAGAATTTGGCATGGGTCGGTCAAACTGGCTGCATTTCAAGTTTTGGCCCGTTTTGATCAAGTCTAATTTATAATCACAAGGTTTCCTGATACCCGATAAAAATCTCAATCCAAACCTGTTTGGCAGGTGAGTCCGTGTTTACCACCATTTTCTAGGGATACGACAACGACGGTTCCTATCCCAAATCGTGTTGTTCATTCTTGATTTCCTTAGATTTTATCATGGCCTGAAAAAAACCAGAATGCACAATGACGACAAGATGAAAGTTTTATAAACCAAATTAATCGGCCAACGGGCCGAGTAAAAAACTAGCAACGATTGTGAGATGCTCATTTCCCGAAAACCGAGGGGATAGGCGATTTTTTATTCGATTTTCTGGAATTCGGTTTCTATAAAACTTACTCCACCTCATCATATTACCAGAAACAATATTGTTTCACAAGTTAACAGGTACTTGATTTTGGTTCATAAGGCCGATTTTTTATTTGTTGCATCATTAATATCTCTTTCGTGCTAAAATTCACTATTTTTATCACGTGTTTCCCAAAAAAACTATACAACAATAAGCTATACACCCCATTACATTATCAAATTTCATGCCTCACCTTCCTCCGGCCAACTGGCCGGGGCCACGCTAGTGTGTTCCTAATGTTGATAACTTGAGGAAAGAGATCCTAGATGAAGCTCATCTTCTGCTTATGCTATGCACCCAGGAGCAACTAGAATGTATCACACGATCAAACCATATTTTTGGTGGCGTAGGATGAAAAAGGAAGCGGCTGAACATGTTTTCACATGTCTAGTATGTCAGAAAGTTAAGGCAGAACATCAAGCTCCTGTGGGAAAACTGCAACCACTTTCAATTCTAGAATGGAAGTGGGAAAGAATCACAATGGATTTTGTATATGGTCTCCCATCGTCAAGGGGAAAAGATGCAGTATGGGTTATTATGGACCGACTGACCAAATCGGCTCACTTTTTACCCATTAGGTGGAAACCATCACCGGAGACTTTGTCTCAACTATATATTAAGGAGATCGTCAGATTGCTTGGTGTGCCAATTTCTATTATTTCTGATCGAGACCCGAGCTTTACATCTCGGTTTTGGCAAAGTTTACATGTTTGCTTTTGGGAACTAAATTGCATTTTACATCAGCTTCTCATCCTCAAACTGATGGGCAGAGTGAACGAACTATCCTAACCTTGGAGGAGTTACTTCGCTCATGTGTAATGCAATGGGAGGAATCATGGATTGACCATTTGCGTCTGATTGAGTTTGCTTACAATAATCAGTACCATAGTAGTTAGGGTGTTCCACCCTATGAGGCACTTTATGGGAGAAAATGTAGAACACCATTATGTTGGGATGTTGAAGGAACAAGGCAAAGCTCAGGGCCAGAGGTAGTTCAGGTCACAATTGACAAGGTTAAGGAAATCAGGGAGCGTTTGAGGGTGGCTCAAGATCGACAGAAAGTTTATGTTGACACGAATAGGCGTGAAGTTAATTTCGAAGTGGGTGAGAAAGTATTTCTCAAAGTTTCACCCTGGAAAGGCGTAATGAGATTCGGTAAGAAAGGGAAACTTGCACCTCGGTATATTGAACCCTATGAAATCACAAAGAAGATTGGACCAGTGGCATATAAACTGGCATTGCCTCCAGAACTATCTCAAATCCATAATGTATTTCATGTGAGCATGCTGAAAAGATACAAAGTGGATCATTCACATGTTATACAACTAGAAGAGATCGAATTGGGTCCAGATTTGACTTTTGAGGAGGTTCCAGTTGAGATTGTTGATAACCAGATTAAGACTCAAGAAGGAAATCCCAATGTTGAAAGTGGTGTGGAGAAATCAAGATAGTGAGAGTGCTACCTGGGAGACTGAAGCAAGTATTCGACAAAGTACCCTGAGTTAGTAGCAACCTACTTTGCAAGTTAACCATCTTGCCTAATAAGTTATGTTTTGAACTTGTTGATGTGTTTTTGCTGTGATAACCCAGTATAGGTTTTTGAAACCTAAACATGGGAAATTAAAATGTTGTGTGTTGCCTTCTATGCTATGAATCACCTAACATAAGAGTTAGGTAATGGCTTTATGTACGATCGATCATATTAAGGATAAGTAAGCAAACTAAAGGTACGACTCAAGGTTAGATTTCGAGGACGAAATATTTTTAAGGAGGGTAGAATTGTAACATCCCATTTCGGCTAACTCGTATTTCGATCGCTAGAAAATTTCAGGATTTAAAATCGGGTATTTTGATAGTATTTCGACGAAAATTGGATTATCGATCGATCGGGTAAGTATACGTATTAATTATATATATATATGTATAGTATGCATGTATCGAGTCGTATCCATGTATGGGTCAGACTCGTATGCTCCATACGCATAGTATGCTCCAGACTTTATGTGCCATTGATCGAATCTAACGTTCCTTATTTATCTTAATTAAATTAATTATTTATCAACAATTATAATTAATAACTACACCCCTTAAATAATTATATGTGCACTATTATACCTCAAATAATTTTACCATCATATTTAGTTTATAATACATAATTTCTTTCAATCATATTATTTAACACTCACATTTTGTATTGTCTCCAGCAAGATATGTTTGATTTTTGCTACAATTAAAAGCTAACTCCTGTTCGAATGACCATACCTTTTTACCTTCTCTAATTCATTTCTATTTCCATTCATGTGAAGACCCAAATGGGCCAATTTATGCTTTCGTACTCCAACCACAAACAATTACCAATTATGTGTTCATGCAAATGAATGACAGTCGAACTCCCCAGAATCGTTCCATCCCTTCATTCCGTCGTTGCCGCCATTCCATCCACTTCAATATTGCACTCATACCCCTTCATTCAGCCACCGTGGATATATTTGCAGAGCAAGAGATCTAGGGTTGCGGTAGAGCATGCCTGCCGCCTGGGGAGGCAAGGAAGCGAATCGATCGAAAATTTCAGGGACATTTCGATGGATACTTGTGTGCTTCGTTCGTCGTCGTTTCCATGGGGAACCCACCACCGCAAAGCGAAATTGAATTTTTCGCTCAGTTCTCAACGCCGCCTCTTCCATCGCCGCCGTCTCCTCCGCCTCAGCCATTTTCCAATCTCTTAGATAATCGATACCACATACCAGAAGTGGATCTTCGAAGCGGAATTCAATTCTTGGAAACCGCAAGTCAGCTCCCATCGATACCAGGTCGCCAACGGCCTCCAAATTCAATCGCAAACAACGAATCGACCAACCTCTGTTGCTTCTGGTCTCGGAGAAGATGACGGTTCTAGGCGTCATGGATGTTGCAATTGAAGATCTGGAGTCGGAATTAGGGGTTTCTAGCAATCGATTTGTCGATTCTTGCCCAGCCGCTCTGTCACATCGTCGGAGAGGATTCTCATCACCGAAAAATTACCCAGCATGATAACCCGGCCGACGATAAAATCTAGCAAATACAGTTTTTATTCCAATATTTCACAAAGAATGGAAAGATAGACTATCATCCGAATACATTGTAGGCGATAAATTATAGGTTCAAAGTTTCCCTAAGGGAGCTTTTCTTGAGAATTATGGGTAACGCAATCAACCAATTTTCAATGGAGAATGAATAACCTGACATCAATACAAATTTTGGGTGTTCCGAATGATGATTGAAAAAGTTATGGTATTATAATACAAAAATAATGAAAAACATCGTTGGAGGACTATATTGCATGTTTAAAAAAATAATGAGTGTTGTTAGTAATTAAAATTTTTATTAAATAATTAATTTTATTAGAAATAATAGTGAGCGTTAGATTAGATTAACGGTGCAAAGGTCTGGAGCATCGTATGCGTCTGGAGCATACGAGTCGTATCCATGTATATATATATATACTAATTAATATAAAAAAATCATAAGCGATCGGGCCGCACATATATATAAACCTTACCCCGTCGATTAAATCCCATCATCATCTTTTTCCATTTTCCCGGACCGAGAGTTCAGAGCGAGCGGAGCAGTTCATGGGAGGGACGAGGGAAATTTCGAGAGCTCAATTCTTGATCCCTAGTGATCCAAAAATCCCGTAAGTAATGCCTAATCCATCCATACATCATAGTTTATCGATTTAGAGTTTTAAAATGAGTTTTTGCTTCAGGAAGTTCTTGAATTTCCGATAAGCCAAATTAGGGTTTCGAAGTATCCGGAAGCCAGATTAAGCCCAAATTTCATATACGAGCTTCCTACAGCAAGGTAATTAATCCTCTAGTTCTAATCCATGAATTTCAGCAATTATTTAGGTCGGGGTCCAAATCGCTGAATTTAGCTCCGGCCAGTGTTTGATGTATTTTTATCGAGAATTTGATACGGAGCCTAGAACTAACATTGACGGGCATACTACAGGGGATATTAGGACAATCTCAGATTTTGATTCCGGGTTTGTTTGAGAAAGTGAAGTTGGGGTACGGGAGGCTAGAACCGGTGTTTGAACGACCAGAAATGGTGAGGGATTAGCACGGCATACCAGGTTTGCCGTATTACGATAATTATATTGATGCATAGAATTGACCTAGGTGAACTAGAATGGCATGATTAGGGGTGTATGAACTTTTGTGCTATATGTTGAACCCTAGACTGCTGTATGATATTATTGACTTGCCCTAATCGATATGGACCTTGTTTATGCTGATGGTTGCATACATGTTGCCATTTGTGGCTTAACTGTTGACATGACTTCATGGTTGTTCGATCAGGTGTTTTTGACATGATGTGATATTGTGGTTGTATTTGGATTCACAAGTGGGGGAAATAAACTTCCCAGGGTGATATTATGATGTTTTAAGGAGGATGACTTGCACGAGGGTTTATCCCGAGGAAGTGCAACTATACGACTCCTGGTTTACCTATGTTGAGCCAATTATGGTCAGGTCAAGTACATGTGCAAGTAACGAATTATGATTAAGCAAGATGAGATATGAATTATGTATACGGATACAAAATATGAGTGTTGTGGTCTCACGGTCAACTACATAGTAATTAGGGCTCCCTATGCAATTACTCTATTATGATATGTATGATAGTCACACCTCTCATGTGGTGGTGACTGAAGATTTCTTACGCGATATGACCACACCCAGAGCGGTGTCGGGGGTATGACTACACCCATAGTGGTGTGGGGTATGTATGATCACATCCGACAGGATGTTGGGGTATGTTTGACTACATTCGAATGGATGTGGGGTATGTTTCCCGGGAGACTTATTAGCATGGGAGTAGCCAGGCGCCTATGATTAAAACATGATAAGATGCACATGCATAAGCCAAGGTGGTTGAGTCTTTTTCTATTGGGATGTCGGATGGCTGAGGTCTCATCGTAGTGTCAATATGATACCCTACTGTCTTGCTGGCAAACTGGTCTCACCAGCTTGTTAGCAAATCCATCTAGTCTGATTGATGCTTTGGATGACTAGTCTTTTCCCCGAGATTACATACTTAGTCTTGAGAAGGGAAAGATTATCCCTGTCGACTATATACCAAGTCAGCCTGCCACCAATCCTGACTTGCCGATTTGGTCTCCATACTTAGCTTTTAAGAGCTTGTCAAGTTGTCCCTTTGGTAGCCAACTGGCCACCTCCGTCCCATCGGATTGGTACCCTGCCTATTTGATATATATACTTAGTCTTTTGGATACTCATTAAACTCATCTTGTCGGGTTTTTTTCCATACTTAGTTGTTGGATGACTCCCCTGCCTTGTGAGGTTGATACCATGCCTCCTTGCCACCAAAACCATCTCTTTGGATTAGGCACCACTGGTTCTCATCTAGACCTTCATTGATACAACCATACAAGCATCAATGTAGCTCTGGTTTAGTGATAGAATAGTAATCTGTACATCCTCCTTCCTTAGTAACAGTATTCCCCTGCCCTGTTACGCGATCCTACTCCCCCTCCTTTTATCCATCTTAGTTCTTATATGAGTGCTTCCCATTCATTTTTTTAGTCTTCATTAGGAAGACTATGATGGGGTCTCTTTCCTTGAGTAGCTGATATGTGCATATTATACATGTTTTACCCTTCAGATCTTGATTTTTTCTTGACCATTTGTCTTGATAACATGCTTCTATTTGTTTATTTAACAATAGGTTGTGTTTCTTGGTCATATTTTAGGTCATAGTACGCGATCGTTAACACGAGAGTGAGTTGGTTCCTTGCTATGCATCAGTTGAGAACCTCATTTGATAGAGAGATTTTAGTTTTGAACACCTTGATAAGTTGTTCTAGAGAATGATACATCCCTCTACGCATCCCCCCGACAAAAACCTTTAAACAAAACATCATTTAACACTTTCGTTTCCTCTTTTGCCTAAGTACTTCAAATGGCTTAATTGCAAGTTTGGTCACTCAAATTGCTACAAAATTTCACGTTTGGTCACTAAAATTGGTTTATTCCATTAGTAGTCACTTAAATTAGTTGAACAGTCCAAGTTCGGTCACTCTCCATTAACCTCCGTTAGACTCCGTTAATGACGACCGTTAAGTGATGACGTGGCTAACAGAAAATCACACTCAACATATTTTAACCCTAAAAAATGACTACCCGACCCGCCACTTCAGATTTGCCCGCCATGTCACCCTTCCCTACCCAACCCGCAAACCAACCCAATAATTGACCCAACCCCAAACCTGACTCCCCCTGAATCTGAAAAGTAAAATCGAAACAGGAAAGGGTAGGTCACTTTCCATTCTCCATCGTCCTCTCATCCTCCATTGCCTTTCTTTTCACTTCATTTCTGGGTTCTCCATTTCCCTGTGGCAGGAGCAACGATTCGTTGCTAGATGACAGTAATCATGCCTATTTTCCCAGAGAGCAGTACAATTGGGGACCAAATCAGGCTCAAAAGGTCCAGTAGAAACAACTTCAATTCCCATCATCTTCATCGCCATCAGCTAGACCCAGCAGTAGCCGAAGCAGATCCCAACCCACAACTCTCTCGCCCTCCCAAATTCCCCACCATCTCTTCCCTCTTCATCTCCCCATTCTCCGCCAACTCAAGCGAACCCACCACAATCATCATCGCCAACAACAGTACTATCGGCGACAAGAAGAAGGGAACCGCTGCCTTCAGAGGCTTGGGGATGCGCTACTGTGGCTGCCCGTCAGGTGTCTGTCCCGGCGGTGATAAGGTCATCGGCGGAGTGGGATGGAAAGAAAGTAAAGAAGAAGATGAAGAAAAAAGCTGTGGTTGTGTCTCCTAGTCCTCCCGCGCCGCCGCCGCAGCAGAGGAGGAAGATGAGCGAGCAGCAGGGGGTTGTCGATTTTACTTTTCAGATTCAGGGGGGTCGGTTTTGGGGTTGGGTCGATTATAGGGTTGGTTTGCGTGTTGGGTAGGGAAGGGTGACATTGCTGGCAAATCTGACGTGATAGGTTGGGTAGTCACTTTTTAGGGTTAAAATATGCTGACTATGATTTTCTGTTAGCCATGTCATCACTTAACGGTCGTCATAATAGAGGTTAATGGAGAGTGACCGAACTTGGACTGTTCAACTAATTTAAGTGACTATTAATGAAATAAACCAATTTTAGTGACCAAACGTGAAATTTTGTAGCAAGACCAAACTTGCAATTAAGCCTACTTCAACTTATACAAATTTCACAAGAAAATTGGCTAAATTACACGTTTGGTCAATGAAATTATACTAATCTTTCACATTTGCCATCCAAATAACTTTTCTTTCTTATTGACCACTAACTTTACGAATCATTTCACCGTTAGTCACCAACAGTTACACTCCTTTAAATTTGTCCTACGTAGCTGTCAACAATAAAGTTTGACCGTTAACTAGATGACGTGGAAATTAAAAAAAAATTAAATTTATTTTTCCACCTCATCATTCCACTTATGAATTATAATATTAATTAGTTAATAAAATAAATGATCTGCAAAATTTTAATTCTCCTTCCTCGTCTCGTTTCCAAGGTGGTCTCCTCCAACGCCGACCACCCGACCCGACCATGATCCACCTCCGCTGCTCGCCTACTCCTACAAGGCTACAACAAGTTCCTCCAGCTCACAACAGGTAAGACTGTCCTGCATCTCCACCACCGCCAACGTCGCCGACGAGGACAAAAATAAGACGACATCCACGCTATTCAATCCCATTTTCCCGGTCGGCGAGCTTAAAATCGTCGGGTTCTTGCAGGTGCAGAACCAGCGCCACGTGCGGACTTTTTACAACAAGGATTACAACGACTCGATTAACTGCGTTGCTTGTGTCTACACCAAAGGCGGTGATGGGTTCCACCAGAACGAATTCGCGGCCAGTGAGTTAGTTATATACTGTGTCCTTTAAAGGGGAATTGGACATGGGTCAGTGGCAGAGGCAGTATTTGGAACTGCCCCTGTCCTCTTTTCGGATTATAAATATATAAATATAATTAAATTAATAATATCTAAATAATTTATTTTCATATATAAAAGATAACGACTAATATAATCAGTATTTTCATAAATAACCATAACGATTTTTCATACTCTGAAAGAAACACAAAATGCATTCATTGTCTACACTATTAAGTAAGTCATTTTCAATGGATCTCACTAAACAATCATTAGCAAACTGGTTGTGAATTCGACCTCGAAGTTCGTTCTTGATATAGCTCAAAGTTGAAAATATATTATCTATACTTGCCGTCAAAACTAGTGGAATTTGCGCTGCCACTAGACTGCTTCAAGATTTCTGGTTAAATAATGGAATAGCTAGGCATATGAAGAAAAGAGATATATTCCAACTGAGATTTCGTGTGTAGTATAATAAATTAATCTAATGTCATTTATATTCAAGTAATGTGTTGTGATATAGTGACAAAATACGTTGTATTGGTGTTGTGTTCCATCCTTAGTATAAACACGTACGAAGTATTTTTGTGCCTCCCAAATTTTACCCTTGTCTCGGGACAATGCTAAACAGGGTTGCCTCCGCCTATGGGTATGGGTCCATTTTCAGAGTAATCACGCCGCCGCCACGGCCTCTAGCTGTTATTAGGTTATGAACATTGTAAAGATGGAAACTGTCAACAATGTAGAGTTTACCTTCAAAGTAAGCTTGCTCCCCATCGTTACTATGGTTGAAGGTGTCCGCCAACTTTCCCTTGGCGGTGGGGTGGTGCAGCCCTGTCGCGAAGCGATGGCCGGGATTGTGGCGGTCGGTGGACGGCGGGACAACCACCACAATCTCGTAGCCATGGCGACCCTCGTCAATGTCAAGATGCTCATCAAGCTCTTCTTCACGGCCTTCCTCTTCTTCTTCCTCCTCCTCCTCATCATCTCCGTCGTCGTCGCCCTCCCTCCCAGATCACCGCTGCCACTCCCGCAGCCGTCACTCCGATTTCACCCCCTTCGCGATCAGATGGCCGTCTGCCGCCATACGACAATGCAGCGCAGCCGCAACATAGCTACCACTACCGCCGCAACACCCACCGCCGTAAAGTGAGATCAGTCCCGTAATCCGCCGCAGTACCAGGTGGTCCACATCAAGAAGACAAGAACGAGACCGTCAGGCCCATGCAAATTGTAAGTTAATAATTTTATTAAATAATTAATATTATAAATTATATAAATAAAGTAAGTGAAATGATGAGTGGAAAAATATTATTATTTTTAATTTTTTAATTTCCATGTCATCTAGTTAACGGTCAAATTTTATAGTTGCCTGCCACGTAGGACATATTTAACGGAGTGCAACGGCCGGTGACTAACGGTGAAATGATTCGTAAAGTTAGTGGCCAATAAGAAAGAAAAGTGATTTGGGTGGCAAACGTAAAAGATTTGTATAATTTGAATGACCAAACGTATAATTTAGCCCAAGAAAATCTGAATTGCTATTTGTCGCCCTAAAATTCAAAATTTGTCGCCCTAAAATGCATCAAATGGACACTTTTACCCTCCAACCCTAATTTGTAACCAAATTCCTAAACAAAAATTCCGCCAGTCGCCGCCGAGCTGCTTTGTCCTGCAGCCGCAGTTGCCGCTGTCGGATTCTTTTCGCCGGTAGCTATCCAACTAAACCCGACTGCCACCGATGCTCTGCTACTACTGCCGGAGTTGATCCCAAGCAGGAGGAACAAGACGAAGAAAAAGAAGGTTGCCTCTCGCCTCCTCTATCCTGCTGCTGCGGATTCTTAACTCCGGCCCACACCCCACCTCAACCCGTCCACGACGCTTCTTCATCGCAATTTCCCAACATTTGTGTTCCTTATTTTTTCCAGAATTGCACAGGACATGGAAGGTGGAGGTGAAGCAGCAGAGGTAATTGGCAGATGTTGATTTCTTTTTATTTTTTATTTTATTTTTTAATGGTTACATTGGGTGTAGTTGTAACTTGCAATTTAATATTTTTATTTTATTTTTTTATCGAGTAATGTATAGTTGTATGTTTTTATTTAGTGTTTATGTGTTTTGAAAGATAAATATTAAACTAAGAATATTTGGGTCATTTTGATAAAATTTAGGGCGACGAATAAGGTATTTTAGCACGACCGCCGAAGAAAATTGGTTTAAAGGGGAAGCAAAGGGAATTTCGAAAACCAATCCTAACAAGAAAAGACAAAGCGTAACAATATAAATAAAAAGTTACAAGAAAGACCGAAAAATGAAAACAAAAATATAAACCATAGCGCCGCTGCTCTCTGACCCTTCTAGCAAGAAAACTTTCGACTTTCTCGAGTCCCCCCCCCTTCAGCAACAGCTTTCGCCACAACTCTCTTTCTACCTCCGACGAGCTACTTTCTCCGGCGACGACAATGGTTCTCGAGGTTAGTTACCGGCAGCTCATCCCCTAAATTTATCCCGTCCCGACTCATTTATCCGGCCCACCGTCTGTCTTCTAGTATCGAATTCGATTCAATCGCGGCGAAACATAAGCTTCGATGAAAAACGGGTTCCTGTATTTTTTTCTTACGATTTGGTCTTGTTATCAGGCGACTATGATATGCATTGACAATTCCGAATGGATGCGTAACGGAGATTACACTCCTTCCCGTTTCCAAGCGCAGGCCGATGCCGTCAATCTCATCTGCGGCGCTAAAACTCAGGTACTTTCTTACAGAAGAGTTGAATTTTAGGGTTTTTGCCCCTCGATTTGGTTTGCATGATCTCTCTTGCTGCTTGGTTGGTCTCTGGTTTAATGATTTGATTTGGAAACGTCGCAGTCGAACCCGGAGAATACGGTAGGGATCCTGACGATGGCCGGGAAAGGAGTGCGTGTTTTGACTACTCCCACCACTGATCTTGGGAAGCTCCTGGCTTGTATGCATGGTACGGGTAATGTTACTGAAAACTTTGAGGTCGTTTATACTTTATATACGGAATTCGTGGTATTTAGGTTATGTGTTATGAGTTGGGGATAAATGGCATTCTGGACTGGTGGTTATGGGAAAAAGTTCTCTAATTTGTTGGTACGAGGTCAGAAAATATGTTAGAAGGTGGAATGGTTTTAAAATCTAAATCTCGCTCTAACTTAGATGTCTCACCCGAGCTGCAACTCTGCCTATTTTGTATAGTAGTGGGAACCTTAGTATTGGGATTCTGATCACTGATTGTAAGCAGATTGCTACAGTTTTCTTCACGGTGACTTTTACATCCTAATAATCGTTTTCATCAGACCACTGGAAGTTTCTCATTCTAGTTTCTCTACAGGTCTGGAAATAGGAGGTGAATTGAACATTGCATCTGCAATCCAGATTGCTCAATTGGCTCTTAAGCATCGTCAGAATAAGAATCAGAGACAAAGAATCATAGTATTCGCTGGAAGGTAGCTCATTTGTTTCTTTGAGGAGTTTATTTGTTCGCTGAACCATACATCTGAACTCAAAACTACTTTGTTTTTATCTGCACATGTTTGCAGTCCAATTAAATATGATAAGAAGATGCTTGAGTCCATAGGCAAGAAACTGAAGAAGAGCAGTGTATCTCTTGATATTGTCGATTTTGGTGAAGAAGATGAGGGGAAGCCTGAAAAATTGGAGGCCCTCCTAACAGCCGTCAATAACAATGATAGCAGCCATATAGTTCACATTCCTCCTGGTCCGAATGCCCTCTCTGATGTTCTCATCAGGTATGTTGCTTTCTTTTGTGTATTGCAAGACATGTGCAATATGATTGATCATCGTGTGAACTTGCCATAGTTTAGAATAAAATTCTAAAGATAAACTTTTATAAGTTTGTTGATATGGAATGAGGCTTGATATATTTGGTGGCGGGATTGGTATCATGGGAAGAAAACTATCATACGGATTTACTTAATAATAGTAGTAACTAGGAACATGCTTTGAATAGTCCGGAGGCTGATAATCTATCTGCTAGCGATGTGCCTGCTATGCATGTTCTTTTAGTTAATGGTATGGTAAGAAGTTAATGCAAATGTTTAGATACTTGTTGACATGGAAGAGGCTTGATTGATATACTTATATTTACCTTTAGTGGGGGATGGGGACCATGGGAAAACTATCATACTGGTTTACTCAACAATAGTAGTAACTAGGAACTTGCTTTGAATGGTCCGGATGCTGATAATCTATCTACAAGACATGTGCCTGCTATGCATGTTCTTTTAGCTAATGGTATGGTAAGCAGTTAATGCCAATGTTTAGATGATTTTGTCCTTTGCAGACATCTGATTAAACCACAACTTCATTTTATCATGTTTTTGCAATGACAAGTTTTTCCTTAATGTGGAGCTGGAGCTAATTATATGGTAATCACTGTAAGTAACTATTTCACCAAGCCTTCTACTCATCAAGATTGGGTTTTTTCCCACTTGGCAGCACTCCTGTATTCACCGGAGATGGAGAAGGAGGAAGTGGCTTTGTGGCAGCCGGTCCAGCAGCTGGCGGTGATTATGATTTCGGCGTTGATCCTAACATCGATCCTGAGCTGGCACTTGCCCTTAGAGTTTCCATGGAAGAGGAGAGGGCAAGGCAAGAAGCTGCTGCTAAAAGGGCTGCTGAGGAAGCTTCAAGCCAAAACCAAGGAGACGAACAATCATCCAAGTCACAGGATACAACAATGGCCGACACCACCGGAGCATCGGCAGCAGTGGCTACTGATGCTGCTGAACCAATGGTTGGTCCTAATTTGAGTTGGCTCTTCACATTTTTAGCTTCATGTGCTACCTGTTTGTTGGTTTCTTTTCTGTTTTTGACCCACCTTAATAATAATAGCTTGACTTTGTCTTTGTGAATAATGTTGCAACAGAGTGAGGTGGATGCACTGCTACAGCAAGCAATTGCATTGTCAATGCAAACTCCTGCATCGGATTCAGCCGTCCGAGATACTGATATGTCGGAGGCAAACAATGAGGACCAGGACTTGGCAGCTGGTGAGTTTTGATATAGTACCGATATGTGTGTGTTCATGTAGATTTCATTCCATGACCCTCACTCGTTGAATTTCTTTTGTTGTTGCTTGCAGCGCTTCAAATGTCCATGCAGGAAGGTGAAAAGGATTCATCAGGTCAAATGGATATGAGTGAGGTGCTAGAGGATCAAGCCTTTGTGTCATCAGTCCTTGCATCGGTATGTATACACTATAAGTACTTATATTAATAAACTTCACCCTTAATTTCTTATCTTATATTGATTATACTGTTTCTGGTATGCTAATATTGCTCCATTTGCAGCTTCCTGGTGTTGACCCTAATGATCCTTCCGTCAAAGATCTGCTTGCATCTTTGCATGGCAAGTCCGAGGTTGGTACATACAACTTCTGCAGAATTAGATTTACAACATCCTTGTTGAATATTCTGTGAAATGTTTCTGACACATGTTTCATTTTTCCTCGTCGCGGTAAACCAGTCTTCTGATCAGAAGAAGGATGAAGAAAATGCAGCAAAAGACGACGAGAAGTGAAGAAGTAGTCGCTCTTTTATCTCTCTCCCAAGCGATGTTTTCTTCTACATCTGGGGCATGGCGTCCATGTAAACTTATTTATATGCATTTTCTAGCTGTATTGTATTTGATCGCCGGGTAGTTAATTTGGACAAGAAGGATTGGATGGAACTCTTTTGTTTCCCTTTCCAATGCTAGTGAGTTCTCTTCTGAAAATAACTATATATTTTCAGCCGTGGCTATGATTGAACCATATGATCGAATTCCACCAGAAGCTTTCAGAATTTCGCCCAACTTGCAAAATGACACCCACTTGTTTCTCCTCCAATGTACAGTGAGAGCTGAAGAAGTTCATGATTATCTGCTCACCAAACCCATCGAGTAGTTCCATTAAGAAGCCGTCATAGATCAGGAGAATTGAAACTCAATTGGGAAAACCAGTTCAATAATTACTAATTCATACAACTACCATCAATAAGAAGGATCAGTGGTGGCTGCCAATATAATGAATTAAGAATTAAACCCAACTTGGTATGTACCATGTCGGTGGTCCATCCCATATGAGATAATATGGACAATTTTTCCTTAGGGCTTCTTCCCTCCCTCCCATAACATCACATGAAGGAACATGCTTGTCTCCTAAGTTAGGGTCCATTTCCCCCTTCTTGATTGCGGTGTTCCTTAGACCCCTAGCGTTTGTTTTTGTGCAACATTCTTCTACACACTGCATGGATGGAGTGGAGCTAGAATATATATATATATATATATATTGGGATAATGCTAATGCTAATCATCTTAAAAAAAATTGCTGTATATAATCTTTTCAACAAATGTTGGGATGTTGGCTCTTACCTGCCTTGCATGTATCAGACAAACTCGTGGGGATCGCTCCAGCCTTCACTACACTTGGGATGTGCCTCGATTTTTTCATTCCACCATTAGCCAGACTACATGCATGATACCATGGGATTAGCTCCCCTTCGCAATTACAAATCAACCTCAAGATATTGAAATCTTGGTGAATCGCAGGGGATAAATCATTACCAAATACTCTGACTCTTAAATTTATTACTAATTTTAAATGTAATTATATCTATATTTCTAGTTACTTTCAATTTAGCTTCGCAGTCGGTTTACGAGCGTGTGTATTTTGGAAACTAATTGTACACATATATTCACATATTGACCAAAACCATTCATCTGTGCCTCCACAAAGTAAAGAGCCAACAATAAATAGAAAAACATTCACGGTATGAAATCTTTGTAGACCAATTTTTTTTGGTAGAAAGACTGAAATATACTCTCGTCACTCTACTTATAGTAGTTCTAGTTTTACCCATACTTATACCACATGTGAAACGGATAGAAAATCAAAACCATGTCCATACCCGTTCGGGTTTCGGGTATCCACGGTTATCCATTGATACGTTAACATTCACACGTATTCTCACATTACGTAAGAGGAAAAGTACGACAATAATTCACTAGAATGAAGAAAATTAATTAAAAAAATACACAATTTTATGTAAATATTATATTTAAATGGTAAATATAAAATATGTTAGAGAAAAATAATGATTATTTCTAGATAAAATACATATGCGTGTGTATAATCGGGCGAGTTCGGGTTGGATAGTGAGAAACCCATGTCCACCTATTACACGCAATATTCGGGTTCGAATTTTACTCGTACCCACTAAATGTCTTTCGAATTTTACCCTACTCGATTAGGTCGAATTCGGGCAGATATATATTTTTCCATCCCTACGTGTGGGGATCAAATTGCCAAAAGAGAAAAGAATGTGGGCTTTCCTATACTGATCAGATCCCAAGATGGGACCGCATTACCTCTTTTTTCCCTTTCTCACCATTATGCCTTCATTCTATTTATGAAGAAGACTTTGGAGTATACAGTATGCCAGCACCGTTCAGAATGCACCTAGTTTGCAGCGTTTTGTCACTCCCTATATAATAATAAGAGCCGTCAACAGGAAAACTTGCTCAACTTTGCACGAGCAAAAACCATGAAAGATGTGTCCCATGTACCCCTTTTACATTGTAGAATTTCATTACTTCAAGGTCAGATCTTGCTATCCAATTGATAATTTTCATAACTAATAACGAATGTTTAGAAAACTTTTATAACAAATTACTTAAATGCTTTCGTTCGTAGCAGGTCAAATTGGAGAGAAATTTTACAATGCTATATAGTATTGGTGCTATAGGGTTTTGCTTTTATGGTACAACTTAAAATTGTACATTTACGTTATGGTACAACTTTAGATTGTATCTATACTTTTTGTACAAATTTTTTTATGGTACAACTTGAACTTGTATCTTTATGTGATGGTACAACTTCAAGTTGTAAAGTTGTACCATAACATAATGGTACAAATTGCTTTATGTTATAACTTAAAATTGTACATTTACGTTATGGTACAACTTTAGATTGTATCTATACTTTTTGTACAAATTCTTTTATGGTACAACTTGAACTTGTATCTTTATGTGATGGTACAACTTCAAGTTGTAAAGTTGTACCATAACATAATGGTACAAATTGCTTTATGTTATAACCTAAACTTGTACATTTAATGTTATGGTACAATTTTAAATTGTACATTAAAGCACCAATACTATATAGCATAGTAGAAGTGCTCCAAATTGGATCAAACTAACATTTAGATAGCACCAAATCAGAACAAATATAATGCATTCCGTTCATAGTTCTACGAAATTTCCAAATATTAAAGGAAAAGGATCGGGCCGATTGGATCGACCAAATCATACTAAATACATTTTTAATCAGGTCATGATTTTCAAATTATCTTTACTTTTGGAATAACAACGTTTTTGGAAAGAAACTTTAAAGACCTGGGTTCTCATTCATCTCAATGTTTATCTATGCTGATGGTAAGAAAGTTTAGTTGGTAAAAGGGCTGGGTTTCGGGTTTGGAATGTGATAAGGTCCCAGGTTCAAATTCCAGTACCACCTTCTTGGTGTTCCTAGAAGCACCCTTGGTACAGGAGACGAAGTCTCCCCGATAACGGTAGCAAAACGTCGGGCACTGCGCTGGGACAAAGTCCTTGATGGTTAGTATGTATGTACCCTCAGGTTTAGTAGGCTCCGCTGCTACTCATGTGGCATGTGTGTGCTGATGTTCCTGGGTTATCAAATAAAAAATCTCAATGTTGCCAAAACTTGGAGGTAAAACGAAAGGTGAAAAAGACAGAGTAAAAGAGGAGTAAGAGATTTGAATTGTTTAGTTGTTGTGTTTCCTATGTTGCCAATGATTTTCCTTGTACGACGTCGCACCACCTAATGCTTTGCATCTTCACTTTTGAATCACATGTTAGGGTTTGAGTCCATCAGGTGAAACTTTTTCCATTTCCGATGTTACCCCCACCGCCGCCGCAAGCTAGTGGACATAGTACTTGCACACCAAGCTTGGAGATAAAGTAGGAAAACGTAGCAGGTGGTAAGGGCTTGGTGAATATGTCTACCAGTTGGTGAGAAGAGATACATGAAGAATTTTGATGACTTGAACTTATCGTAGTAGATACAAGCAGGTTGTGGATGAGAGGCTCTAAAGTCCTTGAGAAGGTATAATAGCCATTAAACCTCACAAGTGGTATAGGCTAAAGATCTACACTTTTATATAAAAGAGGAACGAGAGACAATATGTCGCTTCTTTCTTTTCTAAGAAACTAATGATTCTTCAAGATAAAAACATTAACCAGTGATCCATCGCCTTGTGTTTGGGGAGCTAGGCAACCCAATATGAATCGCTGTAGGTCTTCAGTAGGATTTGAGATGAAGTGTGGAAGAGTCGGGAAAGAATAAACCATAAGAGGGTGATGATTTGAGATATATAAGAAATTAGGGTAAAACTTTGTAATGATCTTCACTAAGATTGAAAATAAATTGACTAAGTTGTTGAGTAGAAAAACTTATGCCTGGTCTTGTAGTGGTGAGGAGGTAGATGAGTGTACCTACCAGTCTAATGTAAACCTCAGAATCTAAAAGTGTGTCTTGTAATCCATTGGTGTTGTGACTGGTCGAAAGAGAAGCACACCAGCTTCATCAATAACCTCCAATGTATATTTCCTTTGTGACAAATGGATACCAGGTGGGCTACGAGAAACGTTAAGTCCCAAGATGAACTTCAAACACTTTCATCATGGTACATGAACCAATTGGAGGTAGGTGCTTTGAGTCTTTGAGAAGGTAAGGAAACCATTTAACAAGGTGATGACTCGATATTTGCACATGTTTTCCCTTTTATTTCTTGATCGTTTAAGCTTTCATTATCGCTTCTTTGGCCTATTTTACGTTAGGTTGTGTTCCTTTGTCTCATTTCAGGTCCAATCACATAAAGTGAAGCGTAGGCGCAAGTTTCAAGTCAATCGGAGATCAATTGGTGACTCGGGGGAAGAAACTCGGGTATGGCTTGAAGAAGAATGGATTTCTACCTCCGTTTGTGACCATATAATCATTTAATCTTGTCATGAGAAGAAATAGGACAAGACTACGAGCGTCTGGGATCAAACGGCACCTGATTTGGTGTCCGAACGAGGTAGAAACGAAGAATCAAAGTTAGGGGAAATTTTGTTTCGGGCTTCTCTGAGAAATAGAAGGGGGCCCTATCGTGACGCTAAAATCAGGGGATTTTCCCCTGTCTCCAAACGGTGCGTTTTAAAGATACCCGGTCTCCACCTAAAATACCCGACAGGGGATTATGACTGGGGATCGCGAACGCAGGCTGTTAAAAGCCTGTTTTGTGCGTTTTTTTCAAGGGGGGAGCTGGGTTTTGGATCCCAAACACCCAAGGGACAAACCAAAGAGAGAGAGGGCGATTTGAGGGTATTCTAAGAGTGGAATTGGAGGATTTCTTCTCCTTGGAAGCTCAAGGAACAAGCTCGGACTTGAAGACTGATAATCTGAAGATTCTTACTGCAGTCTCTCTCTTCTCTATGGAGTAACTTCCCTTCACTTAGGTTTTGAGGAACCCTAGCTATGTTTGTTTGATTGGATGATTGTATGAGTACTCTGACTTGATAACCTTGAGTTCATATTCAATCTCTGCATGTTTTCATGATTCAATTCTGCTTTAGTCGAGATTATTGATTCTGCTTTGATCCTATGAGAGCGAATACCTGATTAGGTCAATAGAGCACCATAGATTGATAGTATTGGATCGATTGCTTTAGTCGAGGGTTGGTTAACTGCTTTGTATTGATTGAGAACCTCATTCGATAGAGGGAATCTAGTTCAGAACGCCTTGATCGGTTGTTCTAGAGAAGGATACGTCCCTCTAGGCAATTGACTCAAGAGGGCCTTGTTCCTTTAGTCGAGACTCAAGGTCTAGTCAAGGATTCTCCGCATTGTGAATGAAAGTGAAACAAATTAGAAATCATCAATCGTTAATTTGGCTTGCTAGGGGGAATCATACCTAAGTGAGTTCCCAACCTGTAATTAGATTAACTTTAACTGTAGTTTGCTAGAGTAGTTTTAGTTCTTTCATCTTAATCTGGTTTGCTAAATAATAAACTGAAGCTGAGTAATAGTAACTCTAGAGACCCGTGGATTCGATATTTATCACTTGAGCCACTATACTGCAGTCCCTTTCATTGGTTACACTTGGCCTTTGTTAGGAGTTGTGTCATAGCGAGTCACAAGGCTAGCTATGAACCTTCTCAATATCCTGAATAGAAAGGGGGGACTTGGATAGGGATGTCAATTTCGACCTGACCCGATTTACCAGACCTGTTTGAGCTATTTTGGGGCGGGGCGGGAATGGGTACCTCTCATCGACCCGACCTGCCCTGACCCGCCCCATTCTCGACCCGTTCTTACCTAAATTACATGTAATCTTAGTCAAACGAATTAGGATTTTCCTCTTATTACATAATATTTTAGGTATAATAAAGTTGTAAATAAGTGAAAAACTCAATTTCTCCAATAATTTAACTACATTTTATCAAATTATGATATCTTTCTTGGTCTTTTAATTAAAATAACGAATAATTCTAATGTTTTTCGCATAAATTATATACCCAATGGGTCGACCTGCCCCGACCCGCGCCCCATGGTAAATTACCCGACTCGGACCCGACCTGCCACCGGGCGGGTATGGGTATCGAGATACCCGCCCCGGACCTGCTCCATTGCCATTCCTAGACTTGGACCCTTTATCTCACCCTAAAAGCATCATGCTTGGGTGTGCTAGGCTAGAGAAGGAGTCATGATTGTAATTGATGTGAATGAAGAAAAAGAAACTACCACCAAAAGGTGAGAGGGGCGGGGGCATTAAAAGATACGGTGTTTTTTTGTGGAATGCCCTTCACGATAACACCTTATAAGAGAATAAATAAAATCGAGTCATATATGGAAGAAGAGACCGTCCATCAGCCTCCATATTTCACAATGGAAGTACATTCAAGACCTCCGTTAAAAAGCTGGCATGTCCTCCAGCAAACTGTTGGCTACTCCTGTTTCAGCTGATAAGTCAACTCTCGAACCCTCTTTGTCGTTCAGTTAAATCTCTCGCAACAGAGCGTATTGTTGATAAACCAAACCAACATTCATATATAGATGTAGGAGGATATGTTTGGGTGTGTAAGAAGATATTTTGACATCTCTTCATCTGCAAAGAAGGGTAGTCCAAGGCAGCTCATATCCTACGGGGATGCTAGCTTATCAGTATAAGGTTCTTAGGGACACCAAGTATCAAGGACGTCGACAGGTAGTAGGTAAAGAAGTTACTGTAAAACGGTGGCCATCATCTAGAGGAAATGAAGCAAGAAAGGGTCGTTGAGTTCGCAAAGATCGAGCATAGGCTATGACCCAAACAGTAGAGAGGCTAGACTGTAAGCAACTCTAAGGGTACTTAAGCAAGGCAATGAAGGAGTCAAACATCGAGATTAACAATGTGAAGTATGAGGCATGGAGAAACCTCAATGAACAAATTTCAAGGTCGAAATTTTCCTAAGGAGGGGGATATGATATCGTAGTCGAGGCAAGCACTATTCAAATCCAAGGTATCTCAGTCCAAGGTCAAGCACATAAATTAAATTGCGGGGACAAAGGTGGTACCCGAACCAAGAAAATGTGCTTTAGTCCAAAGATCCAGTGTTCAGCTCCAATTTCGGGGACTGAATTGTTTTTAAGGGGGGAGGAAATGTAACACCCCGTGTTTGGGTTTAGGTTCAACCAAGGTTCGACCAAGAAGTTGTAAGGCGATTGAAAATAATTAAAGCATTGAAGAAGGAGAAACAGACTAGAACACGGGCCGCAACACGGCCGTGTTGCTAAAACGTGTTCGGATAAGTGAGTCGTTTTGACGGCGCTGGAAATGAAGCAGTACTAGACGGAACACGCGTCTGAACACAACCGTGTTGCTAGACCGTGTTCACTTAAATGATCGTTTTTATTACCGTGTTTAATTAACTGAGCCGTTTCGAGAAACCAGTAACGTAGCTTAACACGACCTAAATACGCTGGTGTCGCGTGGCCGTATCACTCAGGACAATTGGAACGGGGACGAGGATTGGGGACAATACGTGGTAGAACACGGTCGTGTCCCATGCCTTGTTTGACCTGATATAAAATATGCTAGTTTTCTGCCCTCTCTATTTCCGGTTTTTATCTCCCGAAAAGCACCCAAATGCTATGAATGAGTAGAGGATGAAGGAAAGGAAGGAGGAGTGGAAGGAATCGTTCCTCTCTCGTCCCAATCGAAGTGGCACATCGATCCGACCTCCCATGTCCGTCGTTTCTCGTCGAAGAAGAAGAGGAGGGAAGAGAAGAAGGAAAAGAAAGGGAAAGGAAGGAGTCCAAGCCATGGGTTTTGGTCGAGAGAATGTTAGAAACTATTCCATGGAGTCTGAATCCTAGTTGGTGGTCGTTTGATAGGTCGTCGGAGCTTCGTCGGAGAGTCGTCGGAATCTGGAAAATTACGAAGTTCAACCAAACTTCGAATGGTGTGTACGGTTGCGTAGAGAGAAATCTCAGGATCATCACCGTGTTGATGAAATCGAATTCTTACGTCAGATGAGTGAGAACCAAGCCTCGAAAGTTTAGAGGAAAATCTGTTAAGTTCAGGTACCATTCTTGGTAATTCAAAAAGTTAGATAACTGAATATGTTATTCTCCAGAAGGGTTAAGGTCAATAGTATTGACTTGAAAAAAATTGCATTGGTACCTGGTACTTTGGAAATCTGACAGAATTCTTATTTTTCTTCTTCTTCTGAATATAAGCTATAATTTGGACTTAAATAACTTAATTTTATACGAAGGATACAATGATGATAATGTGACCATAACAAGTACACAACCTTTTTCTCTTCAAATTGTTACAAGTTACAACTATTCTATTCTCTACCCGCTCCATATCTGGTCAAAACCAGAAATTCCTCAGCATTTACTTTGCAAGTACTATACTAACTAGCAGTAGCATATTGCAGTATTGCACAGATGCAAGGGACCATAAGTCGGTAATCGAGTTGGCTCTAGCCACATGTTGAGACATATCATGAACTCTAAATGAGTCAACTCACGAGTTTAGCTCAACAAGCCACCGAGTCGAGTCAGCTCGCGAGTTTCACGAGTTGAACAAAACTTAGCTATGTTCGGCTCATTTATTAACGAGTCGAGTTTCGAACGAGTTTTTATCGAGTAGAACGCCGAGCCGCTCGCGAACCGCTCGGCTCATTTGCAGCCTAAAGGACGTGGAAAACCGTCAAACTTTAGACGGCAATGACAATGAGTGGGGCAGTTAGTGAGGAGGAGAGAGAAGAAAACAAAAGTGGCAAAAGTGTAAATGATCTGAAAGCCAATGGCAATTAAGCAGCTAGGTTTTCATTTATATAAATATCTGCCGAGCCAGGAAAACCCCAACACTCGGTATCAATCAATCACTGATCAGTCTCCATTCGCTTCTTCCCTCTCTCAAGAACACTAATAGCCAACACAACCCAAAAAAATCCCCAAAACCTCTTTTCCCGATCAACCATGGCGATGGCATTCAAGATGGTAAATCGCGATCATCCGAAGAACTTAACGTTTAAATTTTTGATTCTGTTTGAATTAATTGAAAGTAGTTATGATATCGATTTCGAATTTTCTTGTTTTGTGGGGGGCGGCGACAGGCGGCGAGCGGCATGTGGGTGAGCGACGAGTGCAGGAACTCTTTCATGGAGATGAAATGGAAGAAGGTCCACCGCTACATCGTTTTCAAGATCGACGAGAAGACCGGGCTCGTCGCCGTCGACAAGGTCGGCGGCGCTGGCGAGAGCTACGACGACCTCGCCGCCTCGCTCCCGGACGACGACTGCCGCTACGCAGTCTTCGATTTTGACTTCGTCACCGTCGACAACTGCCGCAAGAGCAAGATCTTCTTCATTGCCTGGTCCGTCCCCTTCCTTCGCTCGTTTTCTTCCATTAAATTATTCTAAATTCGCCTTTTCTCAAAAATCTTTATTCGGGGATTTACTTTTCCTGCTTTTTTCTTTTTGGCTTTACTTTACTTATTTGTTTGTTTCTTTATTATTCACATGGAAATCCATGTTAGGCTGAGGAGGGAGCAAAATAAAACGCATGAATTTAATTTATTCCCTTTTTCTAATTATATCAATTTTCACAGAGAATATTTATTTCTCCAAATTATTTGTTTTCGTAGTCCTGATAATACAATTTGGTTGGTTTAGATTGGATCGCGTATTTCGAACAGAATCTTGCTTAATAATTTGCTGATAAAGAAATGTTTTGTTAGCTCACTAGATATATATTTTCTTGAAAATTTAGTAATCATTTTATTCCTGCTCCTAATAATAATCATTTTATTCAAGGTTCGAGTGTTATGATAGCTTTCTTTCAGGCTACATTCTGACATATTGGGTCTTATTCCTAAGAACTATAATAAGTTACACACCAACCATTATAGGTGCAGAGTCGTGGTCAACAATGGTTACACCGAATTGGGGAAGAAAGTTTGATTACTAGGGAGCATAGTGTAGGATTGAGGGATTGATAAACATGTGCTAGGGATAAGTTGAACCTATTTTCCGTCTTGCCCGACACAGTTCAGAATAAGTTGAATGTTTACATTGGTTTCGAAATGTTTTATTTTTAAGCAAACTATGGTTTAGAGCAACGAATCGATGGAAAATGCTACTAAAATATGAATATGTTCAATGCTCGTGATACCAAAATTTGGTTTATACTTTATCGATTTTCCTCGTGCTTTGTTTAGGGCACCGGCGGCATCGAGAATTAGAGCAAAGATGTTGTATGCAACATCAAAGATCGGAGTGAAGGGAGCATTAGACGGGATCCATTATGAGCTTCAGGCAACTGACCCAACTGAGATGGGGTTTGATGTGATTAAGAGTCAAGCCAAATAAATTAATTGATGGGGGAGGGGAACTAATTAACCAAAGATTAATGTATAATCAATTCATTAGAGAATCATTAGGGAGTTGTTGAACTTTCCTTGATGATTTTTAATGAATTTGATGACTAGGATTAATCATATATTCCTTTCTCGGTAATAACTCCCTTAATCTAAATCCAGACCCTCATCCTCCTCCGTTTGACCTCTCCCTGAGCTCTAGTTTATGGTTTTTAAGTGTTAGTGTCTTTTTGTACAATAATTATGGGGGCGGTGTCATGTAATCAGCTAATTTGGTGAGAATTGGGGAACCCTCCCTGTTGGGTTTCTAACTCTCTCCTTTGTACTCTTTTGGCTTTCGTTAATCTTATGTTAAAGGGTGCACTAAACAAAATACAGTGCATCTTCTAATTGATGTTTTCTCGGCGGTTCCCCTTTTTTCTTCTTCTTTAGTTAGGAGTTGGTTCGACAATTTAACCATATTAAGATCGTAACAGACATCAGCAATGTCTAATCAGCTAAGCATTATGGATCAATGGCTAAACAACAGTCCCAATTGGTTTTGCCAAGGAACTTACCTTGCAAGTCATATCTTCCTTTATTATTATCTTTGCACACCCCAAACTTCAAATTTGACGAAGTGATGTAAAGGTACTTCTACATAATAAAAAAAAAAAAAAAAGTGATGTGAAGGTACTACTACATATGTACCTCCAAATGACGAGGCTTTCATAACATATACACCAAGTGCTCTATTGCTATACCTACCAACAAACTAAATTTCGATGATTCCACGGAACATTGACTCACATAGAAGCTTATATCAATGATCACCTTCACATCTCCTTCAATCTGTTTACTCCGGTGGAGGTTAGTCGCCCGTTGTGGACTCAGATTGAGAGGGTCTGGAGACCTTTAGTCGAGATTGCAGACTGTTTAAGAACCTCCCGCAGTATAACTATCTTTGAATTCGAAATTGGTAAATTACAATCTGGCTTAACTGCAGTCTAGGGGGAACCATATCCGGGTGACCTCCCTCATTCTCTGGCAGGGCATGCGAATAGGTGGTTAGAGACCCATCCCCCACTATCCATCACATCGTGGGACGATCTGGCCGACAAGTTTGTGCACAGGTATTATCCGGCATCGAAGACTATAGAGATACAGCGGGAGATCACTCATTTCCGCCATGAGCCAGATGAGTCACTTCGTGATGCCTGGGAGCGGTACTCAGGATTCTTCTGGCAGTGTCCCCATCACTGTTTCAGTGATGCATTCACAGTGGAGAATTTCTACAACGCTCTTACCCCAGAGAGTCAGAGGGTGATCGAGTCTCTATGCCCAGGAGGGGATATTCTCACCAAGACTCAACCCAAGCAGAATCAGATGATCAGCACTCTGGCTTCCAGGGATCACTCTTGAGGGCAGAGCACCAGAAGCAGGAGTTCCCGGGACCAGGAAGTGCACGCCATGGAGGCCAGGTCTAGGCTAGAGTGGGAGGTGGCTGAGTTGGTGCAGACATTGAAGCAGCCCGATAGTCTTATTCCTGGCAGAGTTCTAGCTGGACCTCCAGTTGCTCAATGTAAGTGGTGTGAGAGCTTGAACCATCTGGTGGAAGACTGCCAGGCTATGCGGGAGTCTTCTACACCCCAGGAACAGTTGGACTTCATCGCCAATGCTCGGCGCCTCGATCCTTACAGTGGTACATATAAGGAAGGTTGGCGCCAACACCCCAACCTCTCCTAGAATAACAGCAACACCACTAAACCACCTAGTTTCCCAGCACCAGCAGGTGGTTTTCAGCAGCGGCAACCCTTTTAGGCCAGGTAGGGTCAAGCTCCACAGCAGCAGCCGTACCAGCCCAGGTAGGGGCAGCCATTCCAGAAGCCACAGCGCCAGTATGCCCAGTGATAACGATGTAATTGCACATATTTGCGCCCCTAGTTCTCATCCGTTTGAGGGGCATAGTCGTGTATTGTGGCCTATTTTACGCCGGGTTGTGCTATTTTGTCATGTTTCAGGTCCCAGGTGTCAAAGGGAAGGCTAAGCGCGAGTTTCGGGGCAATCGGAAGTCATTTCGGTGAGCTGGAGCCAAAACACGGGCACACCTAAATCATTACACGGCCGTGTTCTGGTGGCCGTGCTTTTTATGCCGAGAGCTGAGCTGATTACACGGGCAGGGCCGAGACAAAGCACGGCTGTGTTCCACCAAAGCACGGCCGTGTCCAAGGCGAAGCACGGCCGTGTTTCTCCTAGTGTAATTAACACTAGCCAAAACACGGGCGGGCTGAGGCATTACACGGCCGTGCCCTCGACCGTGCTTTGGCCACTGATGCTTTTAAGCAGATTTTCAGCCACAAGTCAGGGGGATTCGAGTTTTGGAGAGATAGAACGACTTCTAGAGAGAGAAAGTGACGAGCAAGAGTTCCCAAGTGCCCTAGATTGATCTTCAACACCATTGGAGGCCAGCTTGAGCTTGGAGAAGTGCCAATCAACGTCCAGGAGCCGGAATCCGTCCTTCGCAGTATGAATTCCGTGTCTGATTCTGCTTTTGCTTTCTTCTCCATGGAGTAGTTCTCCCATTCATCTGGGTATGGAGAACCCTAGATTTGCGTGTTAGGCTTCGATTGTATGAACCCAAGTACTGATTCTATGATTGATTATATTCGATTGAGGTTTTAATGATTGAATGACTTGAATCCTGATCAAATTCCTGTTGTTTTTGCTTTAACCTAGAATGAGAATATCTGCCTAGGTTGATAGAGTATCCTTGATTGAAGATAGGGAGTTGGTGACTTTAGTCGAGGAACCAACTCACTATTCTATACCGGTTTTACTCCGGTAGTGGAGGTTTTGTTCTTAGGGCCTCAATCTGTTCACTCCGGTGGAGGTTAGTCGCCCGCTAGAGATTCAGATTGAGAGGGTCTGAAGACCTTTAGTCGAGACTTCAGGCTGTTTGAGAACCTTCCGCAGTATAACTATCATAGAAACTGAACTTGGTAATTACAATCCGGCTTAACTGCAGTCTAGGGGGAACCATATCCGGGTGACCTCTCTTAACCTGAATACAACAGTTTACTTGCTTTGTTAGTTTGATAGTTTAGACTTGCATTCCAGTTTCATTGCTAGATAACAAGAATTCACTGAGTAGTCATCAAATCTAGGACCCGAGTTGATAATTAAACCTAAACCCGCTATACTACGCTTTAGGAAGTGGTTTCACTTGGCCAATTCCTAGGGTGACAGTAGAGTCGAGTCAAGTTTTTGGCGCCGTTGCCGGGGACGGCTAGGTTGTTGAAGAAAAGTGATTTCTGTTAATTTAGCTTTTCTTTTTGCTTTGTTTGCTTTGTTCCACTTGTGCCTTCACGGGTTTGTTGCTTGAGTGTGTGCAGGTAGTGCATGACCCGTAGTCAGTCAGGAGGTTTACTGCCGTTGAATCCAGAGATTGACCGCACCTGTCGCCAGCTCAGGAGACAACAGCGAGCTAGACTGGCTACGGAAGAGCGCATAGACGGCCACGTGAGCAGTGATTCTGAGGAGGAGTACGAGATGGAAGACTACAATCAACACCAGGGGAATCCTCAGCAGGCTCCCCCGGTGAATCAGGTCCTGGGGAACAACCCCATACCCCAGGATCATGGAGTTCATCATCCACCGCAGCCGGGTCCCACCTTGGAGTACTACTACACTCCACGGATTGCTGACATCCGCCCGGTCATCCTCTACCCGCCTATCCCAGCAAACAACTTCGAGATCAAGCCATGCTGGATTCAGCTCATTACATCTTCCATCCAGTTCCATGGCTTGAAGGATGAGGAGGCCAGGGTACATCTGTCCCGTTTTCTGCAGCTGACAAACGGGTTCAAGCTGAACGGTGTTCCCGATGATGCGATCCGCCTTCATCTCTTCCCACATTCTCTGGCGGGGAATGCTAAGAGGTGGTTGGAGACCCAGCCCCCATTGTCCATCACCTCTTGGGACGATCTGGCGGACAAGTTCGTGCACAGGTATTATCCGGCATCGAAGACTACAGAGATCCAGCGGGAGATCACTCACTTCCGCCAAGAGCCAGATGAGTCACTTCGTGATGCGTGGGAGCGGTACATGGGCTATTTCTGGCAGTGCCCCCATCATGGCTTCAGCGATGCATTCACAGTGTGGAACTTCTACAGTGCCCTCTCTCCAGATAGCCAGAGGGTGATTGAGTCTCTATGCCCAGGAGGGGATATTCTCACTAAGACTCCTCCCGAGCTGAACCAGATGATTAATACATTGGCTGCCAGAGATCATTCCTGGGGGCAGAGCAGCAGAGGCAGACATTCCCGGGACCGTGGTGTGCACGCCATGGAGTCCAGATCCGGACTCGTGCATCAGGTAGCTGAGCTGGTGCAGACATTGAAGCAGCCCAACAGTCTTATACCGGGAAGAGGTTTGGCTACACCTCCAGTTGCTCAGTGTCAGTGGTGTGAGAGCTCCAATCACCTAGTGGAGGACTGCCAGGCTATGAGGGAGTCTACCACACTCCAGGAGCAGTTGGCCTTCATCGCCAATGCGCGGCGCCTCGATCCATACAGTAACACATATAATGAGGGGTGGCGCCAGCATCCCAACTTCGCCTGGAGCAGCAACACCACTAAACCACCTGGTTTCCCAGCACCAGCAGGTGGTTTTCAGCAGAGGCAGCCCTTCCAGGCTCGCCAGGGGCCAGACCCACAGCAGCAGCCCTACCAGCCTAGGCAGGGGCAGCCATTCCAGCAGCCCCAGCGCCAGTTTGCCGAGCCAGTAGCAGCTCCAGCCCCAGATGACAGGATGACGAAGCTTGAAAACATTCTAGTTTCATTCATGACGAGCACTCAGGCGACTATCACGAGGTTGGACCAGAGTGTAGCCTCACTGGAGGCAGGTCAGAGGAACCAGGGTGCAATTTTGCAGGATCTGCAGACCCAGGTGGGCATCTTGGCCCGCCAAAGCACCACCAGGGCACCGGGGACTCTGCCTGCCACCACTGTCCCGAATCCTCGGGATCCTCACTAGCTCCAGCAGCTTGATGCCATTTTTACCAGGAGCGGTAGGGCCATATCTGCTGATCCTGTTCCGGCTAGACAGGAGGAACCACTACCTGCTTCAGCACTTCCAGCAGACGATGCAGCAGTACGAGTGGAGAAGGAAGCCCCTGCTCCCAAGCCACAACCAGTGGTTAAGGAGCATGTGCCCCAGCTTCCCTTCCCCACTCGCCTACACAAGGACAAGCTGGAGACTGAGTTTGCCAAGTTCATGGCAATGTTGAAGCAGCTCAACATCAGCGTACCGTTCGTGGAGGCACTGTCGAAGATGCCCAAGTATGCCAAGTTCATGAAAGATCTATGCACCAACAAGAAGAAACTTGGGGATCTCTCGACAGTGCTGCTGAGCGAGGAGTGTTCTGCTATCCTGCAGAACAAGCTGCCCGAGAAGCGCAAGGATCCAGGGAGTTTTACTATCCCTCTTACTATTGGCAGCATGCATGTAGGAAAGTCCTTGGCGGACCTAGGCGCTAGCATAAACGTCATGCCATATAAGTTGTATAAAAAGCTAGACCTAGGTGAACTTAGCCCTACGAGGATGAGCATTCAGTTAGCTGATCGTTCTATCGTGCATCCTAGGGGAATCATAGAGGATCTGCTTGTTAGTGTTGGTGCATTCACATATCCTGTTGATTTTATTATTCTTGATATACATGAGGATGTGGATGTACCTTTGATTATGGGTAGACCATTTCTTGCCACCGCCAAGGCACTTATTGATGTGCATGATGGTAAGTTGATCTTGCGTGTTGGGGATGAACAGGCTACTTTTTCTGTGACTGAATTTGATCACTGTGCTATGATTGCTGTCACGCCTGTGCATGCCATTTCTGATCAGGTACACGAGTCTGTCGTGTACCCTTCTGCACCTCCTATTTTGCAGGACCCTCCTATCATTCCTTTGCCGCCACTCCATCCAGCCACGCCTCCGAACAAAAAGCTCAAGGAGGAGTGGCGGCCGAAGCAGCAGGTTGCTAAGCCTGCACGGAAGAAGAGTGGAGACCACTATGAGCTGGTCCCACCTCCTGCACCACGACCACCCTGGCCGTCCGGGTACTCACTCGCCTGCATCTTGCCAGATGGGCAGGTCGAGCTGACTGATGATGGTGGTCGCATCCGTCGGGTGCATGGCCACAACCTCAAGCTGTACCTCAAGAGTGACGTGGATCCGCTCTTGAAGGCACCTGTTCCTGCATCGCCCTGAGTATCCACCATGGGCGTCCAGCTAAAAGACGGTAAAGAAACGCTTGTGGGGAGGCAACCCCACCACGGTTTGATTTTCTTTCTTGTGTTTTGAGTCGGATTGTAACCCGGTTTGGGTTTGGTTTGTTTTCTTTTGGTTTGGATGATATTTTATTGGGCTGACCATTGAACCTAACATATTGTGTTTGAGCTCTTCTGTTTCCCTTTGGCTGTGCTTGCCCCGACTGGCCCGTTTCCAGTCTCCTGCAGTCCGTGCATACCGGTAACATCGTTCCCTTTTCCTTCCCTCTTCTCCATTGAGGGCAATGTCGATCTTAAGTGTGGGGGGATGTTTATCTTTTGACTGCATTAGATCTGTTTGTGTACTTGGAGCCTAGTCCACTGTCCAAATTTTTAAATTTGAGGGCTCCAAGTACGTGTTTCCTTGCAATTGCCTACTCAGTATGCTTTGAATTGTCAGTCTTTATAGTAATATGCAACCTAGGGAGGTAGTGTAGCACTATGGAGGATGTTGATGCATTTAAGAAATCTCATTTCTTCTTCATATTGTGTTGGTTGATTGAGTGAATTAGTGATCTTAGGACCCTTGAATTGTGTGATGTTGTGGATTTTCTACCTGTCATGGACTCTTGTGTCATGTTTTGAAAATAACAGGTGCTCGAAAATGTGCTTCAAAATAAACGTCTCCCGTGCGAATAGGGCGAAAGTGTGTAAGGGGAGACGGGAATTCGTTCCCAATTTCCACCTACTACCTCCAGCCCCCTTACATGTCTTTCCCCCGCACGAGGCTCGAGACATCCGCTCCTGGCATGGCCGGTAAGAGCAGGTTGGGACCCTTGAAAAAGAAAAGAAAAGAAAAATATAAGAAAACAAGCAAAACAGGAAAGAAAGGGGGGTTCCAACCATCTTTAAGCAGAAAATAGAGCACCTTGAAAAATGTGAGTCCATGGTCTTTTGTTTTTGAGAATCTCAACATCCACAATTCATTTGTCCTCTGTTCACTATTTGCCATGATGCCGACTCGATACTAGTGCTCTCGCCGAAGAAGGTATGAGATGACTTGTGCGTTGGTTGACCTCGTAAGTTGCTAATTGACCTAGGAAGTCCTCTATCTACGATCTGGGTTGTTTGCTGCTATAGAGGTCTGGAGAGTTGCATTGGTTTGAGTTAGGTTTGCTTGGGGACAAGCAAACGGTTAAGTGTGGGGGAGTTTGATAACGATGTAATTGCACATATTTGCGCCCCTAGTTCTCATCCGTTTGAGGGGCATAGTCGTGTATTGTGGCCTATTTTACGCCGGGTTGTGCTATTTTGTCATGTTTCAGGTCCCAGGTGTCAAAGGGAAGGCTAAGCGCGAGTTTCGGGGCAATCGGAAGTCATTTCGGTGAGCTGGAGCCAAAACACGGGCACACCTAAATCATTACACGGCCGTGTTCTGGTGGCCGTGCTTTTTATGCCGAGATCTGAGCTGATTACACGGGCAGGGCCGAGACAAAGCACGGCCGTGTTCCACCAAAGCACGGCCGTGTCCAAGGCGAAGCACGGCCGTGTTTCTCCTAGTGTAATTAACACTAGCCAAAACACGGGCGGGCTGAGGCATTACACGGCCGTGCCCTCGACCGTGCTTTGGCCACTGATGCTTTTAAGCAGATTTTCAACCACAAGTCAGGGGGATTCGAGTTTTGGAGAGATAGAACGACTTCTAGAGAGAGAAAGTGACGAGCAAGAGTTCCCAAGTGCCCTAGATTGATCTTCAACACCATTGGAGGCCAGCTTGAGCTTGGAGAAGTGCCAATCAACGTCCAGGAGCCGGAATCCGTCCTTCGCAGTATGAATTCCGTGTCTGATTCTGCTTTTGCTTTCTTCTCCATGGAGTAGTTCTCCCATTCATCTGGGTATGGAGAACCCTAGATTTGTGTGTTAGGCTTCGATTGTATGAACCCAAGTACTGATTCTATGATTGATTATATTTGATTGAGGTTTTAATGATTGAATGACTTGAATCCTGATCAAATTCCTGTTGTTTTTGCTTTAACCTAGAATGAGAATATCTGCCTAGGTTGATAGAGTATCCTTGATTGAAGATAGGGAGTTGGTGACTTTAGTCGAGGAACCAACTCACTATTCTATACCGGTTTTACTCCGGTAGTGGAGGTTTTGTTCTTAGGGCCTCAATCTGTTCACTCTGGTGGAGGTTAGTCGCCCGCTAGAGATTCAGATTGAGAGGGTCTGAAGACCTTTAGTCGAGACTTCAGGCTGTTTGAGAACCTTCCGCAGTATAACTATCATAGAAACTGAACTTGGTAATTACAATCCGGCTTAACTGCAGTCTAGGGGGAACCATATCCGGGTGACCTCTCTTAACCTGAATACAACAGTTTACTTGCTTTGTTAGTTTGATAGTTTAGACTTGCATTCCAGTTTCGTTGCTAGATAACAAGAATTCACTGAGTAGTCATCAAATCTAGGACCCGGGTTGATAATTAAACCTAAACCCGCTATACTACGCTTTAGGAAGTGGTTTCACTTGGCCAATTCCTAGGGTGACAGTAGAGTCGAGTCACCCAGCCTCCAGCAGATCCAGCTCCAGATACCTAGATGACGGAGCTAAAAAATATTTTGAAGGCATTCATAACTACTAGTCAGGCAAATTTCGCCAGGATGGATCAGAACATAACTTCTCTGGAGGCAGGCCAAAGGAACCAAGATGTTATACTGCAGGATCTCCAGAACCAGATTGGTGGCATTGCTCGCCAAAATAACCCCAAAGCACCGGGGACTTTGCCTGCCACCACCATTCCAAATCCTCGCAAGCCTCACCAGCAGCTAGTTGCCATCACTACCAAGAGTGGCAAGACCACATCTGCTGCTGCTGCCCAGGCCAGGCAAGAAGAGCCACTACTTGCTTCAACACTTCCAGCTGACGATGCATAAGTGGGGATGGAGAAAGAAATCTGGTTCGACTTTTCAGTTTATGGGGACTCATTCTCTCATTGTCTCCATAACCTAGAACTCGTCCTTAAATAGTGTGAAGAAACGAACCTGACACTTAGTTGAGAGAAGTGTCATTTCATGGTTCACGAAGGCATAGTTCTGTGGCACAAGATCTCCAATATGGTGATTGAGGTGGACAGGGCCAAGATCGAGACTACTAGTAAGCTGCCTCCTCCCACATCTGTTAAGGGGATCCAGAGTTTCTTATGCCATGCAGGGTTCTACAGGCGGTTCATCAAGAATTTCTCGAAGATCGCCCTGCTCCTGACAAAGCTCCTTGAGAAGGATGCACCCTTCCAGTTCACCGATGCATGCACAGTGGCGTTCACGACCTTGAAGGAGAAGCTCACTCATGCTACTATCATGGTCGCCCCTGACCGATCTTTACCGTTCCAGCTGATGTGCGATGCCAGTGACTATGCTGTTGGAGCTGTCTTGGGGAAGAGGCGAGATCAACACTTTCGTCCTATCTATTATGCCTTAAAGACCCTCAATGATGCCCAGGAGAACTACACCACCACGGAGAAGGAGCTGCTCACGGTGGTGTTTGCCTTCGACCAGTTTGTCCTTATCTGGTCTTGTCCCATGTGACCGTGTACACAGATCACTCCGCGATTCGATACCTGATGAGCAAGGCTGATGCCAAGCCTAGGCTCATACGATGAATCTTACTATTTCAGGAGTTTGACATCGAGATTTGGGACAAGAAGGGAGCTGTAAATGTTGTTGCTGATCACCTCTCCCGGTTGGACGCACCACCGGCGGACAACCTCGAGGAGGAGATCAATGACTCTTTCCCAGATGAGAGACTAATGATGATGTGCCTGGTGGAGAGTGTCACCCCTTGGTACTCCGATTTGCAAATTATCTGGTGGGCCAGTAGCTGCTAAGGGGATGACAACTCACACCAAGAGGAAATTCTTCTCCGACCTGAAGCATTACTTCTGGGATGACCCTCATCTCTTCAGAATCGGAGCTGACAGGATCATCCATCGCTGCCATGAAGGACCTACTGGCGGTCGCCATGGAGGAAATCACACGGCAATAAAGGTGCTACAGTTGGGTTTTTACTGGCCCACGCTCTTCAAGGACGCAGACGCCTTCGCACGCAGGTGCGACCGATGCCAGAGGTCAGGTAATATTTTTGCCCGTGATGAGATGCCCCAGAATGTATTTATAACCTGTGAGATTTTTTATTTCTGGGGTATCGACTTCATGGGCCCCTTTCCTCCATCCTTTGGCAATACCTACATCTTAATTGCTATTGATTATGTCTCTAGGTGGGCCAAGGCGCAAGCTTTGCCCACTAATGATGCTAGACATGTTTGTGGTTTTTTGAAGCAGCTCTTCTCCCGGTTCGGGACACATAGAGCCATCATAAGCGATCGAGGCACCCATTTCTAGGGACAGTTTGATACGTTACTGTCTCGCTATGGTGTTACTCATAAGGTGTCCGTGGCCTATCACCCTCAAACGAGTGGCCAGGTCGAGCTGACGAATCGGGAGCTCAAGCGTATACTGGAGAAAACGGTGGATCAGTCCTGCAAGGATTGGTCCACCAAGCTTGATGATGCTCTCTCGGCATACCGCACTGCCTACAAGACGCCAATTGGTACTTCACCGTACCGGCTTGTCTATGGAAAGGTATGCCATTTTTCCGTGGAGCTAGAGCACAAGGCCTTGTGGGCCCTTAAGCTGCTCAACTTGGATGTTAGTGTTGCAGGTGTTGAACGAAATTGCAGATGCTGGAGCTGGAGAATGGCGTTATCACGCCTATGAGAGCACCAGGCTGTATAAGGAGCGCACTAAGCGTCTGCACGATGCACGGTTGCGGGGTCCAAAGGAGTTTCAGGTTGGTGATCGAGTTCTCCTCTATAACTCTCGCCTGAAACTCTTTCCTGGAAAGCTCTACTCCCGGTTGTCCGGACCGTTCACGTTCACATAGGTGTTCCCGTATGGTACAATTGAAATCGCCAACCCGCAAACTGAACCGCTTAAAGTGAATGGTCATCGTCTCAAACTCTACTTGGGAGACGAGGTCGAACGTGCAGTGTAACACCCCACCCAGAAACTCTATGGTTGAACCCATGGTTCAACCGCGCAGTCAAATCCTTGGTGTTACTGGTTGAGCTCAATCATCTCAAACATCATCTCCGATTATTAAACACAAACATAAACCGTTATCATACAAACTCATTATTCGATCCCCAACCCACTTATTGAATTTTAAAAATGTGGGTTATTATTGAAAACAATCAAAGCAGAAATCCTAGGTGACTATGACATAACAGTGTTCCAAACTACCTCATGATGGTAGTACAGAAGGATAGGGCAGCCTCAGTAGTCCGATCCTAGTTGCACCTGCGAGCCTGAAAATAGACGTGGGTCAGCAACTAAGCTGTGTGTGTGGATCTTTCCCACGACCTAATTTTGGGACCACAATCAGCTAATCAAACAATCGTAATCAAGCATAATTTAGTCTCTAGATGCCATCTTAAATCATCATATATAAATTACCGATCAATTTATCAAATCCACCAACTCATCATCACCAAATCAATTTATCCAATAAGATAATCACATAATTTCATGAACACATAATCAATGCATGACATGAAAATTCCGATTAATTATTAATGGCGCCAAGGTCACCATACACTTACCCTCGCTCGAGCAAATCATCATCCGTGGTGCTCATGCAACCACAACACTCAATCCGTGGTGCTCATGCAACCACAACACTCAATTCGTGGTTTTTAACCACAACACTCATCCGTGGTGCTCATGCAACCACAACACTCAATCGCATAAGCGAGCTAAATCTACCCACTCTCAAGGGGTGAGGGTAAGTGCAGGCCCTTTCTACATCTATGCGAATTAATATGATCATGAATCAAACCATTTTCATTTTTCTCATTCATCACAAACAATCCGGAATCAATGTAGTCTCACTGATTAACCGGTCTATATATATATTTCCCGTCGGTTATCAACTCGACGTTTCTAAAAATCAATTATCTCATCATCCAATACCAAATCACATAAATCATCTCATTCTCCAATAAAGCTACTCAGCAGTACCATATCACCATTCCTCATCCAAAATTCATCGACAATTCCACGAAATAGCCCCGATGCAAATAATTGTAAATAACCCAGTTGCGGTTAAAAATGTCCCTAACTCAAAATTCACTTTCATTCATTAAAATCCTCACCAAATTTATGTACATGAATTTATTGACACAAAAATCCATTTAATCCAGTTCTGGTCATAAAAATCAATTTAGACGATAAAATATTAAAAATATCGTATTAACCATTATTTTACAGTACCTTAAATTCCAACAAAACGGTAAATCCAAAAATATCCCAAAAATACAAGAACCTTCATTTATCATCCTAAAATAGGTATGTCCAGTTTTTATATTTTTAAACAAATCAAAACCATGAAAATAATATTACACTCGGTCTTTACCGCAAATCTCGTATTAAGCTCGTTTTTACCATTTCAAAGATAAAAACTACACCAACTGTCTAATTTACCATTTCCAGAACAAAACCCATTTAAAAATCCATACCGACCATTTTAAAGTGATCAAAATCTTAAAGATAAATAAACACGTTTTTACCGAGCTTTCCGTAAAATTCACCGTTATGCAGTTTTTAATCCGGAAATCATTTTCAAGTTAAATCTTATGTTAAATCTACCCCAACATCATTTTAGACAAACAAAAATCTCTTAGATCAGTTTTAAACTCAATAAACCCAACTATCCATTTTTACGGTGAAACTTGTCAAATACCGATATGTACACCGTAAAATCCATAACAATAAATAATAATCACCAAATAATCATCTCAGCAACCAAGTCATCAACCACACTAATCCATCCATCCAAATATGCAAATGAAGCATAAATAATCGATGCAATAATTAAGGTCCTCTTAATCCCCACACACCTTAATTTAGTCGATTCCAAGTCGGGAATTAAGTTCTAAAATTCCAGATATTGGCTCCTAAATATTTTCCTTGTTTCTACGGTCCTGTAGGCGAAAACGGTTCGTCGTTTGGACGTCAAACGAAGAAACTGCGAGCTGATCATCATTAGTACGAAATTAGGGATTAATTTTGAATTTTCTGCTGTCCAGAATCTGCAGAAAACTGGAAATTCCTTTACCTCACGTACCAACTTTCGGGCCTTGTTTCTCCCTCGTCTGAGCTCGGAATTCAATTCCGTAAAATTTGTGATGCTCGTGGAGACTTTCTCTTCGCAACGGTATCAAGCTTCGTAGCTGATACTACCTTTAATGGTGCTGGTTTGGCTGACGAAAATGTTACAGCTAGGGCTGCAAACGAGCCGAGTCGAGTCGAGTTTTTGCTTAGCTTGAGCTCGGCTCGTTTATTAATTTTTCAGCTCGAGCTCGGCTCGAACTCGAATTTTGATAATCCAGCTCGAGCTCGAGCTCGGCTTGAATAAAAATAATCTAGCTCGAGCTCGACTCGGTAGAGCTCGATAAATGCTCATTAACATAGCTTGTTAAGCTGAGTACAAGCTCGGCTCAAGATGAGCTCGATTTAAAATCATTTTTGCTGGAAAAATGTATAAACATAAGAATTTAAATGATAGAAAGAACACTAGAAACTAGAAATAACATCTAAATTTCATACACATCTGTATTATAAGACAATGTTCATGTTTAAAAGAGTAATTCATCCTTCCACAAGCTCAAAACAAGGCAGCTCGCGAGCTTAGCTCGACAAGCCACCGAATCAAGCTAGCTCGCGAGCTTATCAAGCTGAGCATGGTCTAGCTCAGGCTTGGCTCGTTAACTAACGAGTTGGCTCGCGAGCCGGCTTGTTAAATAACGAGTCGAGTGTCGAACGAGTTTTTTCCGATTCGAACGCCGAGTTGCTCGCGAGCGGCTTGGCTCATTTGCAGCCCTGGTTACAGCAAAAGTTTCGGCGAAGAATTTTCGTTGAGTGGTTTGACGATTTTGGCTTCGTAATGAGATTTGTGTGGGTTCTAAACTTTGCTGGGCATACAGAGGTGATGATAGGCGTTTGTCAACTATCCTTTCCTTCCTTTCTTTTCTCTTCTTGGTGTTTGTACGGAGGTAGCAATGGAGAGCTAGCTTCCCCTTGATATAGAGCTCTTTGTCCACTCTTCTACTTCTTCATTTACTGTCCAACTGATGGAGTAAAGGCCTGGGTCGGCCTTCTAAGGGTAGTAGCTTTGAAAGGAAGAAACTCAAGTTCCAAAGCCGGCTCCATAAACAAGCTAGCTGCTGCTGCAATGCCTACGTCATCAAGTCTTAAATGAAGCGGCGCTAATATATCACAAGCTATTCTGCAGTGCAACTGGTTAAGTTGCTAACTCCTTACTTAGCAGGTAGAAGGTCACTGTTTTGATTCCAGCAACATGCCAATTTATTTTTGCTTCGGTTTTTAGTTGTTTGTGAGTTTCCGAGTGGTTTCACGAATCCTATCTCGTATAGGATAATAACTAGATTTTTTTTCCAGCCTCGAATCGTACTATATGCTTCCGATACTTGGAAAAAAAATTTATCCGAGGTTCGGGATGTTACATGCAGAGTTGGTGGTTGAACTCGCGGACCCTTAGTTCCGCCATGGGCGTCCAGCTAAAAGACGGTAAAGAAGCGTTTGTGGGGAGGCAACCCCACCACGGTTTGCAGTTCTTTTTCTCTTTTTTCTATGTTTGTGTATTCTTTGAGTCAGTTGCACGCCTTTGCTGAAGTTCGGTTGTCTGGTATGCCTCGTTTTGGTGTTTTCAGGCAGGGGAGTTCGAAAAAATGAGAAAAAGAGATTTTTGGCCGAAAAGGGGAAAATACCCGGCCGTGACACAAAATACCCGACCGGGGATTTTTGTGTCGCGGCCGGGACCCCTTCTGTGTTCCCGGGGGCAAAAAGGGCAAAAGCCAGACCTTGACTCAAAAATACCCAACCGGGTATTTTTTATTCAAGACTGGGGGTTTTCCCAAGCGTGGTACGCCGCGTTTTGCAATCCCCGACCGTAGCCTCCAGAATACCTGACAGGTAATTTTTGAGGCCCGGCCGGGTATTTTGCTTTATAATAAAAACCCCCGGTCAGCTCTCTCTCTCTCCTCTCATTTTTCCTAACTTCCCCTCTCTTCCCTCTCTTTCCTCTCCCCTCTCACTTCTCTGAGCGACGCTGGCCACCGCGCCGCCGACTGTCGACCACCGTCCTCCGCCGTCGACCACCGTCCTCCGCCGTCGGCCACTTTCCGGCGACAGTCCAGCTATTTCCCCCCTTTTCCGCCGAGTTTTCCGGCCCGTTTTGGGCGTGGTTTCACGTCCCTCACCCTTTCCTCGCGTCTCCTATACAGTCCTACTTGAGTTTCCAATTGTGTTTCTTGATAGAATTATTCTTTTTCTGGAAAATCAGAGTGTAGATTGTAGGACCGAGAACTTTGATCTGGCTGGAATGTTTGATTTAGAACAGGGTAAGGGATGTCGTGGTTATGATTGGCTATTATGTGATGCCTAGTTGCTTGAATGGGTCGGTTGTGCTTGATTCTTGCCTCGATTGCAGTTGTGTTGCTTGCAATTCAACCGTTTGTGCTGAAACTGTTAGCATAGGTGGTCCTTAAGTGTGGGGGAAGTGATGAACCCATATTGTTGGTCCTAACGATTATTTTTTGGCTCCACCTTTGGTTTGTTGATTTTGCAGGATCATGTCGCTCGATCACCCGTTCATGCAGGACCTGCGCCTGCACCCGGAGTACGCTGACTAATACCGCAATGTCATACACGGAGTGCTCCAGCGCCATCATCATTTGGAGTGGAGGGTCTTCGAGCAGCTTCACTGCTTTAACGAGATCGCCACCGCCATTAGCCACCCGGATTGGTGGACGCTGCTGAGCATTGACGAGCCCACTTACACAGAGCTGGTGTGGGAATTCTACACCACCTTTCGGTACCGCTCCAAAGCGGCACGGTACTCCCACACCGATATCACCTTCAGGCTGGGTGGGCACCCACGGCAGATGAGCATTGATGGGCTGGCCTTCGCGCTGGGGATCCAGTACCACCCTTACTCCCAGCACGAGGTAGAGATCTCACATCCACAGGACTGGACCCAGGACGAGTTTTATTGCCGGATAGTTCGCCTCGCCTATGGGATGGACTTCTTCGACGCCGACCAGACATATGTCTCTACCCTTAAGCCGCAGTGGCACATCCTCAACCTGCTGATCACCCTCTCCATCATCCCCATTGCCACTGGTTCTCACAAGATCCCGAAGAGGGTGCTATACGCCATGTATGCGATGGGGGACCCGGATCACATGCTCTATTTTGGTTCTTTCGTGGCTACCACCTTCTCTCGGTGACACGGAAAACCCAACCACCTCTTTTGTGGTCCCCTCATCACCCGACTGGCACACCTCTTCGAGATCGTCCTGGAGGGACTCACGGATGCCACGGCACTAGGCGTCTCCACCCCTCTTAGCCGGGAAGTGCTCCATAATGCACTACTCTTGGCCTCCGATGGAGCGCATTCCTGGGTGGATGGGCTGTCTCTGCCTCCCGATGAGGATGCAGATCTTGATGAGGATGAGGAAGACGAGGACTACACCGGTGAGGATGAGGCCGAGGATGATGATGATGATGATGATGATGATGATGATGGCGGGGCCATGGATGCTGATGAGCCGGAGCCCATGCTCTCCCCCCAAGGGACCTTCAGCCACGACGAAGATCCGAGAGAGGCGAGTCCTCCTCTGGTCCTTCTGGTTCGTCGATGGGTTCTGGCCCATCGATGGACTTCTTCACGGAGCAGTTCCAACAGATGGGGCTCCAGTTTCAGTAGCCCGGGCTCCAGAACCAACAGCTTATGGACCATCAGGTCCAGTTCTACCAGCAGTATTCGCCCACCAGGCCGAGTACCAGTTACGGATGACGGTTGTGGACAAGCGCCTCGACCGAATGTAGGCTCAGCTGTGAGTCACCAGTGATCGCATCGAGCGGGAGCGAGATCATAGCCGCCAGATGATGGAGTACCAGGAGTACCTGCTCTAGTCCTGCCACCCGCCTCAGGATCACCACTGGACCACCCGGTGGGACCACTCACCACCCCCGCCACCGCCGACAGATGGGGTTGACAACCTCATGGACCAGATCGACTTCACCGAGCTCGAGTAGGCTGTACTCATTGCTCGTCTTGTATTGTTTTTATTTTGGTTAGGAGTGCAAACTGTCTTGTGTTTCGGTTTATTTTCTTTTCTTTTGGATGATATACTATTGGGCTGACAACTGAACCTTATTGTGGCTGAGTTTTGTGTTCGCTTTAGCTGTGCCTTTGCACCGACTAGTCCCCTCTCCAGTCCTCTTCACTTAGACTAGTCCACCTTCCAATCTCATGCAGTCCGTGCACACTAGTAACATAGTTCCCCCTATCCTTCCCTCTTCTCCATTGAGCGCAATGTCGAACTTAAGTGTTGGGGGGGGGGGGGGGGGATGTTTCTATTTTGACTGCTTAGATCTGTTTGTGTGCTTGGAGCCTAGTCCACTGTCCAAATTTCGATTTGAGGGCTCCTACTACGTGTTCCTTGCAAATTGCCTGCTCAGTATGCTTTGAATTGACAGTCTCTATAGTAATGTGCAACCTAGGGAGGTAGTGTAGCACTATGGAGGATGTTGAAGTATAAGATTTTTCCTATCTAGCTCTCTGCTGTGCCGGTTGATTTTGTGAATTAGTGGAGCTAAGACCGTTAAATTCATGTGGTAATGGTTACTCTATTGGAATTGTGTTATGGACTCGTGTATCGAACAGGGTGCTCATTAGGGAAATGAAAAGCAGTTGGTCCTCCATGTCGAAATCATTGAAATCTTCAACATGGGGTAAGCCCAACGTGTGTGGCACCGTTCATTGCACAAAATCGGGTTTTGGAAGAGATTTTAGTGATCCTTAGTGGGGTACTCCTACAAGGCAAAGCTAAGCTGTCTCTAGTACAAGTAAAACTTTCGACCCCCCTTAATTTCATTGACCCTCCACACGAGTTGAGAAAAAGGAGTTAAAAAGCACTCTGGCGAGCGCCAGATGTACAAAAATTGCTCTTGCTCGACTAATAAAGGTCGACCGTGCAAAAGACTGCAGTTGGAACCCCCGCCAAGTGAAGAAAAAAAAAATGTAAAATGAAAATGAAAATGAAAATGAAAAAGGGGTTCCAAAGGTGTAATGTAGTGAAAGAGCACCCCGGTACAATGAGTCCTTGGTTGTGAATGGTGTGAGTCCCTTTATCCATGAATTGGCTCTCTTACTTTCACTTGTTCTCATGATACTGGCTTGAGTCTAGTACTCGCATTGAAAGAGATAAGGGACGTCTTAGAAGACGAGTTGACCTCGTAAGCTGCTATATGATCTAGAAAATCCTCTACCGACGATCAGGGTTGTTTGTTGCTATAGAGGTCTGGAGAGTTGCATTGGTTGGAGTTAGATTTGCTTGGGGACAAGCAAACAGTTAAGTGTGGGGGAATTTGATAGACCAATAATTACACATGTTTATACCCCTATTCTTGAGCCGTTGGAGAAGAGATTCTCGTGTTTTAAGCCGATTTCACGCTAGGTTGTGTGTTTGTGTCATATTTCAGGGCTTGGCGTTGACATTAAGGCGAGGAAACGAGTTTTGGGTCGAAAAGAGAAAGTTTGAGTTGATGGCTGCTGGAAGAGCAAAATACTCGGCCAAGAGTTAAAATACCCGGCCAGGTAAAATTCTGAGGAGGCCGGGGAAAAGCAGTTTTGGACGCCCAGAAGGCAGAATGGGTACCGGCTAGAGAGCAAAAATACCCGATCGGGTATTCTTGACCTAGATTGGGTATTATCCCCTGTACCACTGAGCTGCGTTTCGAAATCCCCGGTCGGGCACCCGAGATACCCGACCAGGGATTATGGCCGGGGATCGCGAATAGCTGGTTTTTAAGGGAAAGAAGGCCAATTTTGTAAGGGTTCCGAGTTTTAGAGAAAGAAAGTGATACCTAGAGAGAGAAAGCGACGAACCAGAATTCCCAAGCGCCTTAAATCAATCTTCATCATTAGTGGAGCCCGGATAACGCTTGGAGAAGTGCCGATTGACAACCAGAAGCAGAACCTCATTCTTCACAACATGTTTTCTGCTTCTGAGCTAGAGTTTGCTTCTCTCTCCATGGAGTAACTTCCACATTTACCTGGGTATGAATAATCCTAGATTTGTATGTTAGGTCTGATTGTATGAACCCAAGTATGAATCCATTGATTTGATTATATTCAATTGAGGTCTGATTTATTGAATGGCATGAATCCTGATCAAATTCTTGTTGTTTCTGCTTTGACCTAGAAAGAGAATATCTGCCTAGGTTGATAGAGCACCCTTGATTGACGGTAGTGAATTGACGACTTTAGTCAAGGAGTCAATTCACTATTCTGTACCGGATTTACTTCGGTAAAGGAGGTTTGGTTAGATAGGGCCTCAATCTGTTTACTCCGGTGGAGGTAAGTCGCCCGTTGGGGACTCAGATTGAGAGGCTCTGGAGACCTTTAGTCGAGATTGCAGACTGTTTAAGAACCTCCCGCAGTATAACTATCTTTGAATTCGAACTTGGTAAATTACAATCTGGCTTAACTCCAGTCTAGACCTCTCTCAACTTGAAAAAAACCTTTTACTATTATGCTTGTTTGTTTACTGAGACATTCACTATGTTTAAACCGCTAAACAATAAGGATTCACAGAGTAGATAGCACACTTAGGACTCGGGTTGACATTAAAACCCAAAACCGTTATACTACGCTCTAGTAGGTGGTTTCACTTGGCCATTTTCTAGTGTTACAGTAAAGGCGTGTCAAGACGTTCCACAGTCCAAGTCTTCCTACTCGGTTTAGCTTTTGAGGAGTCTTATTGGTACTCGGTATTTTTTAGAAAAAATAAGATAATTTAAAAAATAAGGGATTCCCCGGATAGCGGGATTGAGATTGCAATCTGTAATCATCCCTTTTTTCCCCTCCTTCCAGAGACCTTGAACCTGAAAAATAGCTCAGGGTCTCGCCGGTGATCCGTATCCGGTCCCGACTGACAGGGTCACCTCCCCAATTCGGGGTTTCTCGTCTCCATCAGAGCGACCATTCGCAGGTGGAGATTTTTCATCCATCCTAGATTGAGGCCTCAAGGATTCATCCGGCGCCGCCACAGGCGGCAATACCAGAACCTCTCCCTCATCAGCCATCTCCATTGAAGACGGAAGCTTAAAGCACCACAAGGGCTTCTTCGCTAAACGTTTCCGCTTGATAGAACCACTGAGCAGAGTCTGGTAGGGTTCCAATTTTCGTTTACCACTCCTTATTTTGGAGTGGCATTCTTGATTGTTTAGGGCTCCATGACCATGCATCACAGAGGGTCCGAATTGTCTGCGTGGATGCAAAGCAAAGATGACATTCTTGCCAAGCCCGCCGCCTGGGAGCCCGGAAGACGGCGATATGTTTTTAGACGCCCAAAGATAACCCGAGTTGCGCGTTTGTCGTTGGTTGCTAATGCACGTAGCCATAATCACCGACGCAAGGGCGATCAGGATTTCCCGCACTTTCGCCAGAAGCCGAAGAGAAAGGCGAGAGCATCTCTTTTTTTTTGCAAAAGATATGTGATATTGAGATGTTTTTTCTACCAATTGAACTGTTTCAACTTGATGAGTTGTATATTGTTTTACGGTTGGTCACCAATTAATACCTTATTATTTCCGGATTCAAGATTTGCAAGCTATAGTTGGCTAAGCAAACATTTCAGCTAGCTATTGAAAAATCCCATGTCTATGCATGCACCTTACTTTAGTCAACCCCAAATAATCAAAATATACATAATTAATAAGTAGGGTAGACTCTCTAGTCTCTAGACAACTTGAGAATATAAATAGACCATGCATGCATTTATGTAATGGATTTTTGCCAACTTAAAACAGTTGGCCTAAAGCATTACACTACTTGGTCAAATCAATGGATTGCCGGTGCTTATTTACCTAATGGGCCCGAATCCATCAAATGATCAGCCATATCAAACTTTCAATGTGCTTTCCCTTTAAGTGTTCTCTCATATATTTCATTCAAAAGAACCTGATAACGATGTAATTGCACATATTTGCGCCCCTAGTTCTTATCCGTTTGAGAGGCATAGTCATGTGTTAATGGCCTATTTTACGCCGGGTTGTGTTATTTTGTCATATTTCAGGTTCCAGGCGTCAAAGGAAAGGCTAAGCACGAGTTTCGGGGCATTCAGAAGTCATTTCGTCGAGCTGGAGCCAAAACACGGGCACACCTAAAACAGAACACGGCCGTGTTCTGTGGTCGTGCTTTTACTGCCGAGAGCTAATTGAGTTTGGCAAATTCAAGCTGCAAACACGGGCTGAAAGCACGGCCGTGGCCATCCAAAGCACGGCCGTGTCCATCATCAAACACGGCCGTGTTTGCACCAACACAATGGCCGTATAATTAACCCTAGCCAAAGCACGGGCGGGCTGAGGCAAAGCACGGCCGTGCCCTCGATCGTGCTTTGGCCACCGATGCCCTTTTAAGCAGATTTCAGCCAAAAGAGAAGGGGATTCGAGTATTAGAGAGACAGAGCGATTCCTAGAGAGAGAAAGCGACGAACAAGAGTCTCCAAGTGCCCTAGCATGATCTTCATCACCATTGGAGGCCAGTTTGAGCTTGGAGAAGTGTCGATCAACGTCCAGGAGCAGGAATCCATCCTTCACAGTATGAATTCCGCGTCTGATTCTGCTTTTGCTTCTTTCTCCATGGAGTAGTTCTCCCATTCATCTGGGTATGGAGAACCCTAGATTTGTATGTTAGGTTTGATTGTATGAACCCAAGTACTAATTCTACGATTTGATTATATTCGATTGAGGTTTGAATGATTGAATGACTTGAATCCTGATCAAATTCCTGTTGTTTCTGCTTTAACCTAGAATGAGAATATCTGCCTAGGTTGATAGAGCATCCTTGATTGAAGGTAGGGAGTTGGTGACTTTAGTCGAGGAGCCAACTCACTATTCTGTACCGGATTCACTTCGGTAGTGGAGGTTTTGTTCATAGGGCCTCAATCTGTTTACTCCGGTGGAGGTTAGTCGCCCGCTAGAGACTCAGATTGAGAGGGTCTGAAGACCTTTAGTCGAGACTTCAGGCTGTTTAAGAACCTTCCGCAGTATAACGATCATAGAAACTGAACTTGGTAATTACAATCCGGCTTAACTGCAGTCTAGGGGGAACCATATCCGGGTGACCTCTCTTAACCTGAATACAACTATTTACTTGCTTTGTTAGTTTAGACTTGCATTAAAGTTTCATTGATAGATAACAAGAATTCACTGAGTAGTCATCAAATCTAGGACCCGGGTTGACATTTAAACCCAAACCCGCTATACTACGCTTTAGGAAGTGGTTCCACTTGGCCAATTCCTGGAGTGACAGTAGAAGTGAGTCAAGTTTTTGGCGCCGTTGCCGGGGATAGCTAGGTTGTTGAAGAAAAGTGATTTCTGTTAATTTAGCTTTTCATTTTACTTTGTTTGCTTTGTCCCACTTGTGCCTTCACGGGTTTGCTTGCTTGAGTGTGTGCAGGTAGTGCATGACCCGTAGCCAGTCGGGAGGTTTACTGCCCTTGGATCCAGAGATTGACGGCACCTGTCGCCAACTCAGGAGACAACAGCGAGCTAGACTGGCTACGGAAGAGCGCATAGACGGCCACCTGAGCAGCGATTCTGAGGAAGAGTACAGGATGGACGGAGAGTACAATCAACACCAGGGGAATCCTCAGCAGGCTCCCCCTGGGAATGAGGTCCTGGGGAACAACCCCATACCCCAGGATCATGGGGTACATCATCAGCACCCGCCGCCGGGTCCCACATTGGAGTACTACTACACTCCGCGGATTGCTGACATCCGCCCGGTCATCCTCTACCCGCCTATTCCAGCAAACAACTTCGAGATCAAGCCATGCTGGATTCAGCTCATCACATCCTCTATCCAGTTCCATGGCTTGAAGGATGAGGAGGCCAGGGTACATCTTTCCCGTTTTCTGCAGCTGACGAACGGGTTCAAGCTGAATGGTGTCCCTGATGATGCAATCCGCCTTCATCTCTTCCCCCATTCTCTGGCGGGGAATGCTAAGAGGTGGTTGGAGACCCAGCCCCCATTGTCCATCACCTCTAAGGACGATCTGGCTGAAAAATTCGTGCACAGGTACTATCCGGCATCGAAGACTACAGAGATCCAGCGGGAGATCACTCACTTCCGCCAAGAGCTAGATGAGTCACTTCGTGATGCATGGGAGCGGTGCATGGGATATTTCTAGCAGTGTCCCCATCATGGCTTTAATGATGCATTCATAGTGGGGATCTTCTACAGTGCTCTCTCTCCAGATAGCCAGAGGGTGATTGAGTCTCTATGCCCAGGAGGGGATATTCTTACTAAGACTCCACCCGAGCTGAACCAGATGATCAATACCTTGGATGCCAGAGATCATTCTTGGGGACAGAGCAGCAGAGGCAGACATTCCCGGGACCGTGGTGTGCACGCCATGGAGACTTGATCCGGGCTCGAGCAGCAGGTAGCTGAGCTAGTGCAGACATTGAAGCAGCCCTACAGTCTTATTCCGGGCAGAGGTTTGGCTACACCTCCAGTTGCTCAATGTCAGTGGTGTGAGAGCTCGAGTCACTTAGTGGAAGACTGCCAGGCTATGAGGGAGTCTACCACTCCCCAAGAGCAGTTGGACTTCATCGCTAATGCTCGGCGCCTCGACCCGTACAGCAACACATATAATGAGGGGTGGCGCCAGCATCCCAACTTCGCCTGGAGCAGCAACACCACTAAACCACCTGGTTTCCCAGCACCAGCAGGTGGTTTTTAGCAGAGGCAGCCCTTCCAGGCTCGACAGGGGCCAGCCCCACAGCAGCAGCCCTACCAGCCTAGGCAGGGGCAACCATTCCAACAGCCCCAGCGTCAGTTTGTCGAGCCATCAGCAGCCCCTGCCCCAGATGACCGGATGACAAAGCTGGAAAATATTCTAGCTTCATTCATGACTAGCACTCAGGCTGCTATCACGTCACTGGAGGCAGGTCAGCGGAACAGGGTGCCATTTTGCAAGATCTGCAGACCCAGGTGGGCATCTTGGCCCGCCAAAACACCGCCAGGGCACCGGGGACTCTGCCTGCCACCACTATTCCGAATCCTCGTGATCCTCACCAGCTCCAGCAGCTGGATGCCATTTTTACCAGGAGCGGTAAGACCATATCTGCTGATCCTGCCCCGGCCAGGCAGGAGGACCCACTACCTGCTTCAGCACTTCCAGCCGACGATGCAGAAGTGCGGGTGGAGAAGGAAGCCCCTGCTCCCAAGCCACAACCAATGGTTAAGGAGCATGTACCCCAGCTTCCCTTCCCCACTCGCCTACACAAAGACAAGTTGGAGACTGAGTTTGCCAATTTTATGGCAATGTTGAAGCAGCTCAACATCAGCATACCGTTTGTGGAGGCATTGTCGAAGATGCCCAAGTACGCGAAGTTCATGAAAGATCTCCTCACCAACAAGAAGAAACTTGGGGATCTCTCGACAGTGTTGCTGAGCGAGGAGTGTTCTGCTATCCTGCAAAACAAGCTGCCAGAGAAGCGCAAGGATCCAGGGAGTTTTACTATCCCTCTTACTATTGGCAGCATGCATGTAGGCAAGTCCTTGGCGGACCTAGGGGCTAGTATAAATGTCATGCCATATAAGTTGTACAAAAAGCTAGACCTAGGTGAACTTAGCCCTACTAGGATGAGCATTCAGCTAGCTTATCGTTCCATTGTGCATCCTAGGGGGATCATAGAGGATCTGCCTGTTAATGTAGGTGCATTCACATATCCTGTTGATTTTGTTATTCTTGATATACATGAGGATGTGGATGTGCCTTTGATTCTGGGGAGACCATTGATGTGCATGATGGTAAACTGATCCTGCGTGCTGGGAATGAACAGGCTGTTTTTTTTGTGACTGAATTTGATCACTGTGCTATGATTGCTGTCACACCTGTGCATGCCCTTTCTGATCAGGTACACGAGCCTGTCGTGTATCCTTCTGCACCTCCTATTTTGCAGGACCCTCCTATCATTCCTTCGCCGCCACTCCATCCAGCCTCGCCTCCGAACAAAAAGATCAAGGAGGAGTGGCGGCCGAAGCAGCAGGTTGCCAAGCCTGCACGGAAGAAGGGTGGAGACCACTACGAGCTGGTCCCACCTCCTGCACCACGACCACCCTGGCCGTCCGGGTACTCACTCGCCTGCATCTTGCCAGATGGCCAGGTCGAGCTGACCGATGATGGTGGTCGCATCCGTCGGGTGCATGGCCACAACCTGAAGCTGTACCTCAAGAGCGACGTGGATCTGCTCTTGGAGGCACCTGTTCCTTCACTTCCCTGAGTATCCACCATGGGCGTCCAGCTAAAAGACGGTAAAGAAGCGCTTGTGGGGAAGCAACCCCACCACGGTTTGACTTTCTTTCTTGTGTTTTGAGTCGGATTGTAAACCGGTTTGGTTTTGGTTTGTTTTCTTTTGTTTTGGATGATGTAGTATTGGGCTGACCATTGGATCTAACATATTGTGTTTGAGCTCTACTATTCCCCTTTAGCTGTGGTTTGTTCCAGAC